TACTTAATAGATTACAGTATAGCCCTGGCCAGGTAGCTCAGTTGGTTAGAGCATCATGCCAATACGCTAAGGTTGTGGGTTGGATCCCTGGTCAGGGCACATACAAGAATCAACCAATGAATGCATAGATAAGTGGAATAACAAAATCAATGTTTCTCTCTCTCTCTCTCTCTCTCCCCCTCTCCCTCCTCCCTTTCTTCCTCTCTCTAAAATCAATAAATGAAAAGTTTTGTGTGTGTTTTTTAATCCTCGCCCTAGGACATTTTTCCATTTTTTGTTCAGATAGAGTGGGAGGGTGGAGGGGAAAGAGAAACATCGATGTGAAAGGGACACATCCCGCACGACCCAACCAGGGCCGGGGACAAACTGCAACCAAGGTAAGTGCCCTTAGTGGGAACCGAACCTGGGTCTCTCTGGACCGCAGGCTGACGCTCTAACTGCTGAGCCAAAACGGCCAGGGCTAAAAAGTGTTTTTAAAAAAGACTGCAGTATAGTATAAACATAACTTTTATGTGCACTGGGAAACCAAAAAATTTGCATGACTTTTTATCATGATATTCATTTTATTGCAGTAGTCTGGAATTGAACCTGCAATATCTCTGAGGTATACCTGTAATTATTTCAAAGTTGCACACTAAACTTATGGATACATCATTCTTATGGAGGTAGGAGCTTTATGGTGGGCAGCTTAGGTGGGGAAGTAGATATGGACCTGAGTCCCCTGAGACTGTAGAATCTCCTTTCTCCCTGGAATCCTTTCCCTGCTGACAATATTTGATATGGAATGAAACTAGTCTATTTGTAAAACAGCCTTTTTCCAGAACTAGTTCCTGAGCTTCTTACCCCAATAACGGTCTGTCTTTCCTGGAGGCATTTCATGAATCCTTTTTCTTTTGAGTTGAGAAACTGCCTTCTAAATTGCTTAAAAAGAAGGCTAGTAGCAAAGAGGAAACATCGTTATGAGAAAGTTGTGTTCCTGCTATACCTATGATGATCGTTTTCTAGAAACAGACCTTCCTTCCCTTTCAATCTCATCTTAAATATTACTTTACTACCTTCTCTCAAGGTAACCACATTTTAAAATTTATTTCAAGATGTATGTTCTGTCTCTAAGAAAGCAGCAAAATCCCAGCAAGGCTTTACTGTTTTAAGTGTTCTGTATTCATCCTGGAGATAATGCTGTGACATCCCTGCATAATCCCTAAACTCATAGTCATCATCCCACACTTTAGGGCAGACAAGAGGAGCCTATGGCCATAATCTAGAATTCTGAAAAATGTGTGTTCTTAAACTTCGCATCTCTAAAAGTGATCCTTATAAACCAACCAGGCGCTGCTTTAGAAAGCCTCTTAATAAAAATTTTTAAGGCCCTGGCCAGTTTGGCTCAGCGATTAGAGCGTCGGCCTGCGGTCCAGGGAGACCCGGGTTCGGTTACCGCTAAGGGCATGTGTCTGTTGCAGTTTGTCCCCGGCCCTGGTTGGGTTGTGTGGGTAGCAGCCACTCGATGTGTACCTTTCACATTGATGTTTCTCTCTCTCTCTCTCTCTCTCTCTCTTCCTTTCTCTCCCGCTCTGTCTGAACAAAAAATGAAAAAATGTCCTTGGGTGAGGATTAAAAAAAAAAATTAAGTATTTTACCCCTGTATTAAGAGAGAGAAACAAGGCCCTGGCCGGGTAGCTTAGTTGATAGAGCATCGTCCCGATACAGGAAGATTTTGGGTTCCATCTCTGGTCAGAACACATACGAATCAACCAATGAATTCATAAATAGTGTTTCTCTGTCTGTCTGTCTGTCTCTCTCTCTCTCTCTTCCCTCTCCCTTCCTCTCTCTCTCTCAAAATCAATTTAAAAAAGAAAGAGAGCCCTGACAGGTTTGGCTCAGTGGGTAGAGCATCTACCCTCGGCCTGAGGGGTTGTGGGTTTGATCCCTGACCTGGGGCTGCATGGGAGGCAACCAGTCAATGTGTCTTTCTCACATGTTTCTTTCTCTCCCTCTCCCCCCCACCCCTCCCTTAATCCCTCCCTCTCTTCCACTCTATCTAAAAGAATCAGTGGGAAAATGTCCTTGGGTGAAGATTAACAAAAAAAAAGAGAAAGTGAGAAACAAGAAATCACCCCGGCTGAGTGGCTCAGTTGTTTGGAGTGTTGTCCCATATACCAAAAGGTTGCAGGCTGATTCTTGGTCAGGGCACATACCTAGGTTGCAGGCAACTGATCAATGTTTCTCTTTCTCACTGTCTCTAAAAATTAATTAAAATACATATATATTTTTTAATCTCTTCAGTTGAGGATGTAAAAATAGAAACAAGAAATCAAATTGTTTAAAGGAGAATAAAATAAGTAGAGTAGGGTGATTCAGGATGTTCAGATTTGCAAGTGATGTTTTCTTATTGTTTTATGACTTAGAAGACATAAGTAATTTTATGTGTGATTTAACCACCAAAACAAGTATCTGCCCAATTGCATTGCCTTTCTTCATGACTTTGGAGGGGTTACCTTCACTTGCTATAAGCTCATTCTTTTAGTGTTCCCAATTTCTATAAGGCTTTATTGAGTACCTACTGTGTTCCAGGCATTATGTATAGTGTGGAAGTACAAAGGTAAATGAGGCATAGAGAAGGGATTTGGGTACATAATAGTTTCAGTATAGTGTGGCACAAAAGTGCTATAGGGATTCGGGCTGTCAGAGAAAGCTTCGTGGAGGTAAATCCTGACTTGAGCCCCTAAAAGATGAGTCCACCTGGTGAAGGAGTGGGGAAAGACTTAGCTTTGGTAGTTGTGGGCAGTGGCTCTGGAATAAGCAGAGACGGGGTTGAGAAACAATATGGGCTATGTAGGGAGCCACCAGATTTAATGGAGCTGGAGAAGGAGGCCGAGTTCTGGCTACAGGGGTCTTACATAGAGTACTGAGGAGCTCGAGCTTTATTCTGTAATGTATGTGGTGATATTGAAGGGCATTTTAATTTGGAAAGTGATCTGATCAGAATTGTATTTTAAATAAATCATTCTGCCAGCAGGGTTGGAAATAAATTGGGGGAAGCATGAAGGGTGGCCAGGAAGCCATTTACATTTTGGTAAAAGATCTAAGCCTGTACCACCTTGCCTTGCCCTTCTCAGCTTTACATGTGGTGTAGGGTATCTTGGTACAAAGCCATGATGAAAAGAAATGATGAAAAACAGAATCAAAAGTGACAGCCTTTTCAGAGTTAATTTTAATATAACAGCTGCTGAAGCATAGCAGAGTCTGTAGGCCTTTGCAAATTACATTCAGGCATTTCATTAGTTTGGGTGTGGCCTATGCAGAAATACATTGGAGAGAACAAAGGTAGATTTTAACAGGTGGTATTCACCTGTGGTCCCCCCGGGCTTAAAGACCTATCCCCATAGGCCAGTGTGCCTCCAGTTTTCTGCTTCCTTGATACAGATCCTCCTGTGATTACACCAAGGTAACAGGAAAGAAAGGGAGCACAGTGAGGCTGGACATCCTGACATGCATGCTGAGGGCTCCAGGGGAGCATGGAGCTAGGAAAACTTGCCAACCCAGTACTATTTTAGGTATGATCAAACAGGATAGCATTAAGCCCTGGGACTTAAAGGAGAGCTCTTATATATTCAACACTCTAGTGTTTTTGTAGTACCCTTCCAAGCATTTAATAAAGTCTCATATGGCTCTTGGTGTAACCTTAATGGAAATCAATGACCTGGAGAATCAGTAAGGCTAGCCCTACACAATTATAATTTTGATTCAGTATTGACTTACTGAGTGACTACTATGTACAAAACCTCTTATAGAAATACAAAGAGGGAGTAGATTCGATGCTTGTCTTGGTCCCTCTAATGAAAGAAATAAGAGACTTATCACAAAAAGGAAAGCATGAGAAGTACCAGAAATGAACCAGAACCATGCAGCCAGGCATCTAGGATGTCTGAGTAATCCCGGAAGAACACATGGAGGAGCTGTCCTCAGTATTCTATTGTTTCATGACAGACTACCCCAAAACTCTGTGGCTTCAAAGTAGACACTAGTTATTATCTCTCACAAGTCTGTGGGTTGATTGGGCTCAGCTGGGTGGTTTTTCTGTTTTATGTGATATTGTCTGGTACTGCAGTCATTTGGAAGCTCAACTGAGCTAGCATGGTCCAAGATGACTCAATCACATAAGCAGTAGTGGTGCTGGCTTTTGGCTTGGATTTCAGCAGAAGCTGTTAATTGGAGTACCTTAAGTCTCCTCTGTGTAGCCTCCCACAGCACAACAGCAGGGCTCTGAAATGGAACATTCCAAGCATGTAAAAATGGAATCTGCAGATCTCTTAAGAACCCAGCCTTAGAAGTTACATTGTCCCCTCTGCTGCATTCTGTTGGTCAAAACAAGACACAAGACAAACCCAATTCAAGGAGAAGGAAATGGACTACCTCTGGATAGAAAGAGTATCGAAGAATTTGCAACCATCTTCAATTTACTATAGACTAATTGAGGCAGGCCTTACAGGATAAATAGGGTTTTCACAGGCATGGCTTTCCAAGGGAAGAGTGTTCTAGAGGAAGAAATAGCAAGCCTTCGGTCTGACTAGGCAGAAGGGCACCTGACGGGGGCCTGGAAAATGAAATGGGACCATGTTTAGAAGGCTTTGAATAGCAGATGGAAGAGCTTGGACTTATACTACAGACTGAAAAGAGTGTGAAGGGCCTATCAGTGAGTTTATTGGAAATGACTCAAGGTCCCAAACTAGTTCTTTATTATCTTCCCTGTAAGCCTAATGTTAATAACTCTGGATTTGGCTTCTCTTTCTAAGATATGGGAAGGGATGCTCCCTCTTTAGATTATTGTAAATGATGCCAAGTAAGCATTCTGAAAAATGTGAGAGCCCTAGCAGTGCTGTAGGACTGGCCAAAATAGGAGTTGAGGTACCTGTGGCTTTGTGTCAGATCTAGCTAGGCTTTTTCCGTTACTTCAAAGGATCAGTTAGTTACTTAGTCTTGCCCTTGTCTTTTCCCTGCAGTAACCCTCCACTGAGTGAAGAGATGTTGCCTCCTGGGGAGTGGATGTGTCACCGGTGCACTGTTCGTCGAAAGGTAATAATGCTGCTTTCTGAAGGCTTTGCTCAGAATGCCGGATCTAGAGTACTGATATTCTAGAGCTAAGATGGCCTGTCCCTGAAGGTATTTTTGTCCCTTCTTCTTGTCTCTTCCAGCCCTGGAATCACCCACATTCTCTTCATGGTGACTGTTTGGAATCCAATAGGGCCTAAAATCCAAACATGGGCTCCTGAAATGGGCAGAAGAGGTGTGTTAATTTACTAAGCCATGTTCATTCACTAGTGACAGGAGTAGTCTAATCTCCTTGTAGACCTCCTGTAAGTGGCCTGAATGTGGCAATTATGTCCATGGCTGAAAGTGGCTGAAGAAAAAGCAGGCTGCTTCTCCAGCTTGATGGAAAAAGGATTTCCCTCATCCCAAGACAAATAAGTCAGTGGTATCCAAAGGCCTAGTCAGGTGTAGGTGGGGGGAGGGGGGAGACTTTGAACCTACTTGTACCCCAGGTTGCCTAATCTCTCTGTAGCTCCCCTTCCTTTAGCTTTGGTAATTCAGTACTGGCTTTGAGAATGTTATTTTCTACTTTGAGAGAGCTTCTGTGGAATGTAAAAGCTAAATTTTCCCTTATCAAAAAAGGAAGTAGGTGTGTTTCCATTCAGATTATGAGAGAACCAATCCTCAAATTATAGGCTGTGGATTACAGTTTGTCTGGGAATTGTAACTGCCCCCTGCCCTGCCCTGCCCCCACACTGATTATACACCAAGTAACTTTCCTTTGTTGTGACATCACTTCTGTTTTCTCCTGCCCCTGAACATGATGTCACAATGAATGATGACTTCCTTGGTTGCCGAAACAGGATGAGATGATTCAGAGATTGTGGTTTATGTGTGTAACAGTTTTCAGCCTTTAAGAAGAAGGTAAACAGTTAGGTAGACATTGTTTTTCATTGTGTTCACAAGGGTTCCTATTAAAAAGCAGGCCAAGGCCAGCTCAGCACCTAACCACAGCTGTAGTTTGATTTCTCCTAGAATCCACAAAACAGGCTATCCTTCAGCCTGTTCACCACCCAAGATCGCCTCTTGTGCATCCTCGGTTAGATTAGAGCAGGGCCAGTTAGAGACACCTGCCAGCCAGGAAGCCTTTCAGAAACTTGCCACTCAAAGAAGCTGGACATTAAAGGGTTGGGAACTGCTGAGGGAGAAAAGGTGAGGCCAGAAAAAGAGGGTGGAGAAGAGGAACTAATGTTATTTTAGTGCCCATCATCTGCTGGATATTTTATGTATCTTACCTTATTTAATCTATATAGCCATTTTTGGGTGCTGGTGGTTGTATCTCCATTTTAGAAAGGGAGAAACTGAGGCTCACAAATGCAGAATAACTTTTCAAAGGACTCAAAGGAATTGACAGCAAGATATGGACCAAATTCTGTCTCACTCCAAAGCTCTATTACCTCTTCTTCAATTTTCTAGAAGCAGAACTACTTGCTAGGGATTATAGTATGCTCTTTTTCTAACATAGTATGCTTTTTCTGAAATTCCACTCTGACCTGCTCTCAGATGGCCCTCTTTGCCTACCAGAGCCAAATCTGTCTTTTCCAATACCACTACCTCTTTCCCACTTTGGCCTCTTGTAGTTACACTGAAGTGGATTGAAATGATACATCCTCTGGGCCTCATCAACCTCTGATGTTCAGGCCCTATTCCTAGTAGAGGTTAGATTTTCCCAACTCAGAGTCATCCCTTTCAAATATATGACCCTCTATTGTCACGATGTCCCTGAGAGGAAGAGAGGGGTTTTACTAGACTCACTTTACAGATAGAGAAATTCCTGCCCACCAGCCTGAGGTACCCAAGGTCGTAGGAAATCAGTGGCAAAACTAGGACAAGATTCCAGGTCTCTTGACTGGAGACCAGTGTGAAAGTTTCATTTGACCACTCTATTTGGAATCCTGGAGGAAAATGTATTGTCAGTCATCTAGTCCTACTGAGTACACTTAGTCTTTTTCCATTTCTCCACCTTCCTATCAAAGAAGTATTGCTTTCACAGTCCTAGTAAACTTGAAACATTGAAAGCCACCATGATGATTGCTGAATCCCTACCCTCCACACACCACCCTTCCATCTTCTAGTATAGTTACCTTCCAGGCCAGCACCCAGTCTCCCCAGACAGGGAGCTCTGCTTGCCTATTTTACCTTTGCTTTTGCAGACTTTAGTTTGAGCAAAGTTCTTAAAACCATTTAGGAGGTCAGGATGCTGCTCCAAGGCAAACTACGGTGATCTCATTGGTTCTCACTGTGTTATTCTCACTGTTCTCACTCTCACTGAGCTTGTTCTCGCTGTGTTAATTGTTTATTCCTTTATCCCTCTACTTTGTATATAGAGATATTGTGTATCATATCATGACTTGATGTGTGATTTGTATAATTGTTTCCAATTTTCCGTGCCTTTTGGTGATTCCCTGCTACGATAGTTTTGCCAGCTTTAGTTCACCTATAATTTTGTCAACTTTAACAGAACTATGTTCCAAGTCCCCAGGTGGATGAGTCTGTGACTTTTCATAATTTTGGTTAGTAGCCTACTGGGACTTTGCAGCATCCATCTCTTTCTATTTTGTGGTACTTTATGTGATGGGCCCTCCTGTTCATTTGCACAGAAGCGAGAGCAGAAAAAGGAGCTGGGCCATGTTAATGGACTGGTGGACAAATCCGGCAAACGGACTACATCCCCCAGCAGTGACACTGACTTGTTGGACAGATCAGCTAGCAAAACTGAACTCAAGGCTATTGCCCATGCCCGGATCCTGGAGAGGAGAGTCAGCCGGCCTGGCACACCCACATCCAATGCCAGCACAGAGACCCCCACCTCTGAGCAGAACGACGTTGACGAGGACATCATTGATGTGGATGAGGAGCCAGTGGCAGCAGAGCCAGACTATGTGCAACCCCAGCTAAGGCGGCCCTTTGAGCTGCTGATTGCTGCCGCCATGGAGCGGAACCCCACCCAATTCCAGTTGCCCAATGAACTGACTTGTACCACTGCACTACCAGGTTAGCCAAACCATATCCCCTCCCCCACCCCAGCTTCCAAAGGGCAGTGCTGCCTAAGGGGTCACTGTCAGTGTAGCCACTGTCTCATGCTGCTCTTGGTTCTTCTTGTAGAGATCTTTGAAAGTTTTAGCTTTTACAGTGCTTGTTTAATTTTCTATTTCCACCCTTCCCAGTATCACTTAAAAGGGGGGGGGGGGTAATGCATTCACATGATTCAAAAGTAAAAAAAATATAAAAAGTCTTACAATGAAAAATTTTCCTCCCACTTCTGTCTGCCATTTGCCTAATCTCCACCTTCCTACCCCTCATAGATAACAACTCTTTGGTTCTTGTATATCTCCTTCTAGAATTTCTTTGTGCATGTGTAAGCAAATATAATATGCTCATTATTTCCCCCTTAAATAGCATACTTGATATACTGTTCTACACCTTGTTATTTTTTACTTTACAATGTGCTCTGGATAGAGATTTTTCCATATTAATATAGACATCACTCAGTTTTGCTTAATAGTTACATAATGATCCGTGTATTTATTTAATTTCCTGTTAATGGACATTCAGATTTTTCCTGATCTTTTGTTTCTATAGATAGTGCTTCAACAAATAATTCTGTAAATACATCATAATATACTTGTGAGTATGTGTCTGTAGGATAAATTCTTAATATTAGAATTCCTGGGTCAAAACTATGTATTTCTAGTTTTGATAGATATTACCAAATTACCCTCCTTGGTTTTTTTGTTTGTTTAATTAAGTCATAGCTTCTACTTGATACAATGAAGCTTCTAGATCTTATTTTCTTCTTCCAGATAAAGTGAAATTGGCAGGCTTAAGAAACCTACTGGTCAGTAGGATGCCTACAGGATCAAAGATTTTCTATTTTCTGTTAAAATGCAGTGAAATTGTACTTTTTTTCCTCAGCCACCTCCATAGAATAGGCTTTTTGACCTATTTATATTTCTTATAAAGCCAGTGTCTAACCTAGGCTTTTGGCCGCTTTATGTTTCCAAAACATTTAGATGTGTTTCTGCCATACAACAAGTGACTTCTGATTAAGGTTCATGTCTCAGTCTCCCATCTAATTCTTTTTCTCACTTGAAACCAGACCAGGGGGCCTCAGAAAGAGATCCATGTCTAGGCCCATAGCACATGCTTTTACTGAGAACTCTTCCTTTCACTTACTATTGTTTCCATATCTCAGGCCAGGAACTCTGCACCTAGAGAAAGTTCAGCACCACCAATTTCTCTTCTAGGTTCTAGCAAAAGAAGAAGAAAAGAGGAAACCACAGGGAAAAATGTTAAGAAGACCCAGCATGAGTTAGATCATAATGGTCTTGTTCCCTTACCCGTCAAAGTCTGCTTCACATGTAACAGGTATTTTTCTTTCATACTAAGGGACTCTTCCTTATATTCAGCAAATGATGTTTTTTGTTTCATCACTTCTTTCAAACCATGTATGTTAAATGTAGATAATCCATATTTTGATGATATGAGAGCAGAGCAACTGAGTGTGACTAATTGATCAGAGCCTTGAATATCTTTTTTTTATTATTAATTTTTTTTTTCTTGTTGATTTTAGAGAGGAAAGCTGAGGGAGAGAGAGAGAGCATTGACTGGCCGCCTCCTGCATGCTCCCCACTGGGGACTTGGCCCACAACCTGGGCATGTGCCCTGACCCGGAATCAAACCAGTGACCTGCTTACGAATGGGTCGACTCTCAACCACTGAGCAACACCCACCAGGCAGAGCCTTGACTATCTTAACAATAAATTTCTAGAAGAATCACAGTACTTGGTGCCCTGGCCTAGTAGCTCATCATCCCAATATGCCAAAGTTGCAGGTTTGATCCTCAGTCAGGGCACATACAAGGTACAACCAATGAATTCATAAATAAATGAAATAACAAAGCGATGTCTTCTCTGTCTCCCTTTTTCTCTCTCAAAATTGATAATTAAAATTTTTTTAAAAATCAAAATATTACAGTACTGTAAATTGTGTTTATAGAGGCTAGAACAGAAGTTGGACTTAAACTGAAATACGAAATAATTACGCTAGCTATCAGGAAGAATTCTGGCCAGCAGAGACCCAAGTCCTTGGAAACAACAGATAGTTTTTAAATCACTAAAGATTAGTTTAAAAGTAGTACAGGTACCTGGCCAGTTTGGCTCAGCAGTTTGAGCATCAGCCCATGGACCAAGGGGTCATGGGTTAGATTCTGGCCAAGGGCACATACCTCGGTTGTACTTCAGTCCCTGGCCCTGGTCGGGTTCATGCAGGAGGAAACCAGTCGATGTGTCTCTCTCACATCAATATTTCTCTCTCCTTCCTTCCCACTCTATCTGAAGAGAAATGGGAAAAAATATCCTCGGGTGAGGATTTAAAAAAAAAAAAGTAGTGGTAGCTAGTATTGATCAGACTGGATGATTTCCAAAAGCCTCTAGGTTGCTGCAGTGGTAGCTTCCCTGGGACACTGGTTTTCTTCAGATAGGATCTCCTCAGCGACAGGAACCGGCTGCTTCAATCACTGAAAATGGACTTGTTTGGATGTGTTAGGATGACAGGATAATAGGAGAAAAAAATATGAAAAAGAAATGTTCCACAGCAAAAGCTATGGTACAAGATAGTAGAGCAGCAGAACTCTGAGCCAGGCCCAAAATGGCTCCAGTGCATCTTGAGGACCCAAGGAGCGTCATAGTTACAAATAATAATTGGCATTTGTTTAAGCACTCTCTCTTTCATTATGCTTACATGAATACATTACAGAATCATTTTCCCAGCACAACTCTCTCTGGTTATCAGTTTTTCTGAGTGCTTCATGCAGAAGAAACATTTCTCTTTTTTTTTTAATCCTCACTGGAAGCCATTTTTTCATTTTTTTTATTCAGATAGAGTGGGAGGGAGAGAAAGGAAGAGAGAGAGAGAGAAACATCGATGTGAAAGGGACACATCAAGTGGCTGCCACCTGCACAACCAACCAGGGTCAGTGACAAACTGCAACCAAGGTACGTGCCCTTAGTGAGAACCAAACCCGGGTCTCTCTGGACCACAGGCCAACGATCTAACCACTGAACCAACCTGCCAGGGCTAAACATTTCTTGCTATAACAGATTTTAGAAAGGTTGCTAGTAATTTTTTTTTAGTAAAGTGGTTGCCTTTTTTTTTTTTTTAAGGAGTTAGAAAGATCAGAGTGGAGTTGGCTGTCTTCCCCTAGTGGGTACTGAGCATTGACCATTCATGCTCTGATAGCCACTTTAGCTGTACTCCAAGTAAACATTCACTTCCTGACAAGACACAATCCTCTTAGAAGAGAGAATAATGGAGAGCCTGGTGGTAGCCTGTAACTTCATTCATCTTTCTAGTCAGGAATGTAACTGAATCATTGGGAGAGGATGATGTAGGAAAATGTTGGTAGGATTAAGGAGGGGAGTTGTTCCACAGTGCAGGGTTGGTATGAATTCTCCCATCTTGCCACAGAAATGGCCCATATTTCTTTTTTGCAGGAGTTGTCGTGTGGCCCCTCTCATCCAGTGTGACTATTGTCCCCTTCTGTTCCACATGGACTGCCTCGAGCCACCACTCACTGCCATGCCCCTGGGCAGATGGATGTGTCCAAATCACATCGAACATGTGGTGGTAAGCACAGCAGTGTCCCTTCAGTCCTCGGCAGACACAGCTGGAGTGTGGACTGATTGGGTAGAAAGCATAGTAAGGTCAGCTTTGTATCAAAATTCACTATAATCTCTCAAATGCTGGTTTCTGCAGACCATCCTACTCAACTCTGATTATTTTGACATGCCTCAGCTGTGCATTTTGCCTCTTCTCATAATGCCTTGTTTTAGCTGCACCGGCAGACTTAATCCACTAGCACTTGGTTGTTCATGAATAATTTCTTCTAGAGTGAATCAAGCAATTGATATTACAACTCTAAAATGGGTTATCATAGATCAAACCTCATAGAAATAAATACTCTCACAGTAGTTGCTTCCATATTTTCCTACCTCTTGTTTTTAGAGGGAACAAACTAAGAAAATTCTAAAATAGTTATTCTCATATCTCAGGAATTAGCTAACTGCCCAGTAACTTTGGAGAATTGACATGGGTATAATGGTATTCCAGACAGTCAACCATTTATTGAACACCTGATCTGTCCTAGACACCAAATGAGGCTCTTTCCATTCTCTTATTTCAATTTTTTATAATCATGTTATTATAACACTGATAGGTATTGAGTAAATAATTTGTTAATGAATGTTGTGAGGGTATTATTTCCCAGGAGTCTTGGGTACATTTTCCAGTCCGCTTCCTGGGGCTAGAGCAGAACCATCGTTTGCTATCTCCAAAGGAGGTTTAAGACATGTCCTTGTAGGCACTTAGAATAGTCATTCACAAGATTGAATAGAAGAGGGCTTCAGAAGGAACAGCTCCCTCATAAGAACAGATTAAAAATGTTATTGTATAAGACATCGCCTATCAAATGCTGATAACCACTGTTGGCCCTCAGCATGACAATGCTCCCCACTTGATACGGAGAGGAACCTCAGTTATAGACTTGCACACATGGAAGAAAATAGTTGCTTTGTTATCTTCATTTGACTAATGCTGTTTAGAAGTTTTATCTCGGAGGAAACTTCTCTCTGAGGCTCAGAGTATTTTTTGCCTCCTACTGAACCAGGAAAAAAAAGCAACCATGAACAGTTTACCCAAATATGAATCTTAAAGGGCACCTTTCCAGGAGATGAGAAATTATTAATTGGGTAATTTTTTATTAGCCACTTATGGGTTTTTTCTCATTTACTAATTAGGAAACTGCCATACATTTTTTTCTTTTGAATTCAAATATAGGGGCCAGTTGTAGAGAGTAAATGTGGCATAGTTTCTAAATACTGCTGCACAGCCTTCTTTCTTTCCTCCCTTTGGCCTCTTAGAGCAGTCCCAGGTTTTCTGCCTCTGATAGAATAAGACTATGATATCTAGATGAATTCACTAGTGCTCCCTGGTACTATGGAGAAGGAATAGGGCAGGGTACACAGGATTTTGGTGCTGATCCCAGCTGTCAGCCAAACTCCAGTATAAGAAACAGTCCTTCTTCCTGTGGGAGAGAGTCTCTTGCCAGGAATGGAGTCTGGATCTCTTGAGGGCCAAGGCCTACATCTCCTTGGAAACTTGTATTCTCTTAGGGTATACTGACAAAGGGTGGTCTGAACACTGGACAGAAGACTCAGAGGCTGAATTTGGAAGGTCACTTCCAAAATTAGCTAATTCCCTGTTTCCTGCCCTCATCAATCCTCTTTAGGGAATAGGAACGTACCAGTTTTCCCTTGTTGGACTGGGTAGGGCTGAAAGTCTCATGCATGTTCCCAGCCATCTGACAGTAGTATCGACATACCAGCCCCTGACAGACAACCCCATTTGGCCCATTGAACCTAGACAGTAGTTAGTTGGGAGAGGGATGTCTTTTGAGGTTTACTGCAGGAGTGTTTCTGCTTTGATTCTAGCTGAACCAAAAGAATATGACACTGAGTAATCGGTGCCAGGTGTTTGACCGTTTCCAGGACACCATTTCACAGCACGTCATCAAAGTGGACTTCCTGAACCGAATTCACAAGAAGCACCCTCCTAACCGCCGCGTGCTCCAGTCGGTCAAAAGAAGAAGCTTGAAGGTGAGTCACAACCTGATTCAGGCATGATGGTGGTTTCTGATTGCCTTCATGGGATAACAGAGGGTCATGGTCCCACTTTTACAGATAGGGACACTAAAGCCCCTAAGACTTGTCTGTGGTGTCTTAGCAAGTAGTGAATGTGGTTGTACATTTTAATACTTAAGGAGGGATGACAGGATAATGGAGGCCAAACCCCATAGTAGGCCTTCAAACTGCAAATCTCTAGTTCTCCTGAGGATAACCATTCTTTAGCCCCTCCCACCAAATTTAGATGTGCTCTGCTGTTACTGCCTGGCATTTGTACCATCTGTTCCTGTTAGATGGCCCCTTTCCTAGAGCTGCCTTGAGATGAAGGTAGAGGTGTAAAAAAAAGTTAAATCTATTTTTCCAGTCTGCTGTTAATATAGTACCAACATATTTTATATACTTAATAATTGCTAAAATGTGTCCACAGAGATTAACGGAGAAATTTTCTTTTGTTGAAGAGCATTTGGTGGTGTTGAAGCTGTTTCTCATAAACCATTAAATCCTCTCATTCATTTAACCTAGAGAGCCCAGCACTATATACCTATATGTAAACTGATTTTTCTCTTTTGAAATAATCACATGGACTGTCCTATGTGCCCGGAGAAACCAGCAATTTTCAAAAATGGCCACTTGGTGGCAGCCATACTTTAAAATCACACCACTTCTACCTTAACTGGTGTGGCTCCTTTTGAGCATCCTCCCGTGCACTGAAAGGTTGCTGGTTCGATTCCTGGTCAGGGCACATACCTAGGTTTCGTGTTCAGTCTCTGGTGGGGGCACATACTAGAGGCAGCCGATTGATGTTTCTCTCATACAGGATGTTTCTCTTTCTCCCTTCTCTTTAAAATCAGTAAAAAACATACTCTCTGGGAGGGTTTTTTTTTTAAATCACAGTGCTCTCATCATTCTCAGTGGGTGTTAGAGCCAGCAAGATGTTAAGTGTTGAAAATTATATAACAAATTTTTTTTTATAAATATTTTTTCTTTATTGATTTTAGAGAGAGTGGAAGGGAGGAGAGAGATAGAAACATTGATGAGCGAGCATATCGGTTGGCTGCCTCCTACACACCCCCCACTAGGGATTGGGCCCACAACCTGGGCAGGTACCCTGACCAGGAATCGAACTGGCGACCTCTTGGTGCATGGGTCAACGCTCAAACCACTGAGCCACACCAATTGGGCTATATAACAAACACTTAACTGTGTGAATATTTATACCTCAGTGGAAACACCAGTTTTCCTAAATTAAATTAAGGTGTTTTCAGTTGAGGGTAGGGTATATTAGAGGTGGCATACCTCATACCTTAGTTAAACAGATCAAAAGAAATCTAGACTATAATTCACCATGTAGGTATGGAAGGGGGCCTGACTACTGAAATGAACAGGCCGAGAAGCCTTGATAATACCCTGTCATTCTAAAATGCTGCCTTTTAAAATGTTTCCCTATTGAAGAAAATCCAAGGGCACAAATTGCCTGAAAAGTATTTTTCACTTGGACAGTTTGAGAGTGAAATAAGGACAGGGAGCCCTGGCTGGGTGGCTCAGATGGTTGGAGTATCATGCCATACACCAAAAGGTTGCAGGTTTGATTCCAGTTAGGGCACATACCTATGTTGTGGGTTCAGTCCCCAGTTGGGGCATATATGGGAGGCAGTTAATGTCTGTCTGTGTCTGTCTGTCTGTCTGTCTGTCTCTCTCTCTCTCCCCCCTCTCCCCCCTCTCTCCCTCTCCCTTTCTGTCCCTCCCTCCCTCTTTCTCTCCTCCCTCTCCCTCTCCCTCTCTCTCTCAAATCAATAAAATCATATCCTCAGATGAGGATTTTAAAATAATAAGGAGAGGAAACTATTTGCAGTTCCTCCCTTATCTTTCCTAAGGTGTCCTGGTGACCAAATACCTTGATTCTCCAAATGTTTTCCAAATCTACCAGATGTTTTTATATTTCTGCCTTATGTGCTGCTCCCTTGCTTCTTTCTTTTTCTTTTCACCTTGGTCTGCCTGGAAGTTCCTTCTTAACTTCCAAGTCTCAACTCAAGTACTGCCTTCCTATGAAATCTCTAATCCCAAACTCTGTCCCTCAGATAGAAATAAGCACTCCTCCATGTTTTTTATAGCTACTTAGACATGCCTTTATTCTAGGATTCATTACATTGTATTACGATGTTTCTATGTTTATCTTTCTTACTAAACTGTGAGCTCCTTGAGGGCAAGGCTTAAGTTTTGTTTACCTCTTGATCTCTAGGACTTGTCATAGTGCCCAGACTCAGGAGTTGCTCAATGAATGTTTGTTGAATGTATGAATGATTCCTTGCTTGTGTGACTCTTTCGTTCTTACATGGTGTGATTCAGAGTGCCTCTTCTGTCTGTGCAACAAAGAGGTCTTCAGTTGTTTCATGAATCATGAGTGAATGATTGAAGAGAACTGACATTGATTGAGCGCTTATCTGGAGCCAGGCCTTATGCTGAGTGTTTCTACTGTGATTGTGACCTCATTTAACTTGTTATCTCTCAGATATTGTTTACTTACCTCCCAAACTTGGTCCTACGCAATAAGAGCCTAGGTTACCACTCTGTAGCCCTGTTTGGTGTCAGTCTTGCACTTTTTAGACCAAAGCAGAAGGCAGCATGCAATGATTTCTGGCTTCTTCAGGCCTTAGACCTTAATGAAGAAAAGTGGGGGGCATGCCTACTGTTCCCAGTTTTGTGCCTTCTCAGGCTAGTGTGCATCTATGACAGGCAAAGAGGTGATGGCATAGAGCAGCCAACCAAGCCACCTTGTCTTCAGTGAAACCCAGAGTGGATGGTGATCCTTTGGGCATCAGCACCAAGGACAGAAGAGCATGGTCAGAGCAGAATCAACTGGCCATATTGGCACTATCTCCCTCTCCTTCCTCCTTCTATCTATCCTAAACAGGTTCCTGATGCTATAAAATCTCAGTACCAGTTTCCACCCCCACTCATTGCACCCGCGGCCATTCGGGATGGGGAGCTGATCTGCAATGGGATCCCTGAGGAATCACAGATGCACCTTTTGAACTCTGAGCACTTAGCCACCCAGGCAGAGCAGCAAGAGGTGAGTGAAGGCAGGGCTGGGATTCCAAATCTAATCTTCCATCTCACTGCAGCTGTTATTGCAAGTAGCCTCAGTGTCACTCCCATCCCCATCGTCTTCAACCCCACCCACCCCACCCCCCAAGAGTTGAATACTTCAGGGAAAACATGTGGCTCAGATCTTGAGGCAAGTAAGAACTACAGAGTCAACCGGTCTACTTCTCTCCATCGGTCTCCCAATGCGCTGTGAGATGGGCAAAACTGTCTTGTAGAAAGAGCTCAGTAGACCCATAGAGAGACTAGGTGATAGTGCTGGACACACAGCCGATGCTTAGGGTACTTGCTGAATATTGGTCACAAGGTGAGCCTTAGGGGCAGAGCCAGAACGGGAATCCCAAGCTCTGCTGACCAGGGTGTTGTCTGCTGAGTATACCAACAAGTCTTGCTTGGGAATGGAAATGGAATCCTATCAGGAGTCAAGCACACCCTTTCTGGGCATTCGCGATGGGACCTCGGAAACAGTGTTTATCAGCTCTGCTGTAGCCCTGGCCGCTGTGGCAGGAAGGACCAGCGCCTCCCAGGCCTCTTACCCTCCTCTCCTCTCCTCTCCTTCCATTACAGTGGCTCTGTAGTGTTGTTGCGCTCCAGTGCAGCATATTGAAACATTTATCTGCTAAGCAGATGCCTTCGCATTGGGACTCTGAACAGACAGAGAAGGCTGATATTAAGCCTGTTATTGTGACTGACAGCTCAATCACCACCTCCCTGCAAACAGCTGACAAGACACCTACTACACCTTCCCACTACCCCTTGTCCTGCCCCTCAGGGATTAGCACCCAGAATTCCCTGAGCTGCTCTCCACCCCACCAACCCCCAGCCCTAGAGGACATCAGCTGCAGTTCTTGTGCGGAAAAATCCAAGAAAGCCCCCTGTGGGACTGCCAACGGGCCAGTGAACACAGAGGTGAAAGCTAATGGCCCACACCTCTACAGCAGCCCCACTGATTCCACGGACCCCCGGCGACTTCCAGGCGCTAACACCCCCCTACCAGGCCTCTCCCATCGGCAAGGCTGGCCCCGGCCCCTCACGCCACCAGCGGCTGGGGGGCTCCAGAACCACACCGTCGGCATCATTGTGAAGACAGAGAATGCCATTGGCCCCAGCTCTTGCCCCCAGAGGAGTTTGGTTCCTGTCCCAAGCCTGCCCCCTTCCATTCCCAGCTCTTGTGCCAGCATCGAGAACACCAGCACTTTGCAAAGAAAGACTGTCCAATCACAGATAGGACCTCCGTCGACAGATTCAAGGCCACTGGGCTCACCCCCAAATGCCACCCGGGTGCTCACTCCCCCCCAAGCAGCAGGAGACGGTATCTTGGCCACAGGAGCCAACCAACTATTCTGCTCACCAGCGCCATCTTCAGGTGAGTGCTGCTCAGCCTTAGGGTGATTGGAGTAATTTTATGCTCTTCCCGGCAAATAAGACTTAAGCTTCAAAAAGAAACACGTCTTTGTGAATATTTCAGAGGGCTTTGATCTCTGTATTATTTGTCCTCCCTCCATTTCTGTGATAGAAGATAAGGTACATATTAACTTGTCTTCATCTTATTAGTGGGACTGCTTAAGCTCTGAAAACTTAAGTGATTTTTTTAAGGCGATCTAACAAGTCAGTGGCAGAATTGGAATTACAGCCTGGATCTCCTGATTCCACCTTCCCACACCTTCCAGGCCTCATCTTCTGCAGGTTTTGTTCCATCACCCTAGAGGAAGGCAGCATGTACTCCGGAACCACTATGGTCACCCTGAGGCTCTGGGTGATAGCCTCAGTGTTCATGATCCACACCAGAGATTAGATATCCACACCTGATCCAGATTCTCAGAGCCAGTTTATTAGAAGGAACTTCCATGTCAGGGAAAGCAGGGCTAGAAAGCAACATTGCCTTCAGGAAAGCTGCAGAGTGGGATGCCCACAGAGGTAGTTCTGATCCAAAAGCTTGCCCTTAGGCCACATGCCAAAAGGCAGTCCCTTACGTCCATACTTGGCCTTGTGTGGACCTGCTCTCTCAGTTCTTTCCAGCCAGTACTCAGGACTTTAAGGTTGCTGACCCCAGCATCTGAACCAGGTTTCAGATGTTACTGATACCTGCTGTGGTCTCTCCTGTCTGAACTGAAGCTGGCCTCCCTGGTCATCTGGGAGTCTTGGTAATAAGGTGACTGTGACTTCTCTGCATGGGTGCTCCTGATCCCAGGATGGCCCCTCTTGTCTGGCTTTTGTCCTGTATCTGTTTATCTCAATACCAGCCTGGATAGATTTTGTACCCTGTGGGTCGAGCTTCAGTAGGCAAGAGTTTTAGGGGCAGACACCATTTATTTGAATGAGTAGAGGCAACAAGGAGGTGTTCATAGCCCAAAGAATAAAGCTACCCCACCACATTCCCCAGAGCAGTGGATTTCACGGGTTCTCTGGAGACTTCTGCATGCCTGGGTGCATTGTTGCTCCATCTGCCCTTCCTCACCACACGTTTTTAGCTCTAGGAGTTCCAGAGCCTATTGGGTGAGAATCAAGAAGGGAACATCACCTTGGGTCCGAAATCCAGACCTGTCTCGGCAGTGGGGGATTGGACCGGTGGGTTTCCCTCAGGCGACGTAAGTAACAGTCTTCCTGCTCCGTCCCCAGATGGCAAGGTCAGCCCCGGCACGTTATCCATAGGAAGCGCTTTAACCGTACCCTCTTTCCCAGCCAACTCTACTGCCATGGTGGACCTCACCAACTCACTCCGAGCATTTATGGACGTCAATGGAGGTGAGTAAGTGAGCTGCTGTTCTACTACCAGCTGCTGTGGTGAAGACGTAGTCCCTATGCGCAGCATTTAGCTCATTTCAAAAAGGGACAGAAGGGATGCCTGATCTCAGAGGGCTGGGGAGGGGAGTGGTGTAGGAAAGAAAGCCCCTTCTCCTATCTCTGCCTTGTGTGTGTACACATAGTCAAAGAGCCAAGCTGACCAGTGAGAAGAAAATGACCATAGGCAGATCACCTGGACTTTCAGAATAAAACCAGGTGGAATCTCGCTCCCAAAATCAAGGAGAACCAGAGCAGATCTAGATCTCTGTAAACAGGGTGGGTAGAAATCCAGCCCTGCTATCAGACATCAGGCCCTTCCTCACACACAGGCAAGTGGTTTGTCTTGCTCTACCTTTCGAGGACCACTTTACCTAAAAGTACAGGAGGCATCTGCAGACGCTGCACTGGCCAGTGAGATGTCCAGCCCCAGATCCTTGTACCACTTTGTGCTGTTTGGATTTTAGAAATGCTGAACTATTTGCTCTGTGACGCTAGCCTACTTCTCATTCCATTTCCTCCTCAGCTGCTTTTTTAATCTTTCTCTTTGGTTAATAGAAATCGAGATAAATATGCTGGACGAGAAGCTGATCAAGTTTCTGGCCTTGCAGAGAATACATCAGCTTTTCCCCTCCCGGGTCCAAACTTCACCGGGCAGTGTCGGGGCACATCCACTGGCTTCTGGAGGGCACCACACAGAAGGTGCGCATGCCCACCTGCTACCACACCACGCCATCAGATCTCTCTGTGTGAATGGTCATCTCCCCTCCACGGAGATCTCAGCTCTCAATGTGTGCCTTTAATGGACTTAATAAAGCACCATGGTTTCTTTTCTCAGAAAACAGAAACAAAATGGCACCCATAACTTTCAGCTCAGATTCTAGGAAGTCAGCTGTAACTTTCTTTCATACATATCTACTTTGAGACACAGAAGCAGCTACAAGTGCCTTTGGGTATATGTAGTGTTTTCTACTCGATTGCTTTCAAATATTCAAATTAGAAGTGTTTCCCAAAAGATGAGAAACAGAGTAACAGTTGGGCTAGCCTCCTGGCAATTCTTCCGAAGAGGTTAACGCTGCTTAGGATACCCCTTTGAGCATTAGCTGTTAAATGTGGTGCCCAGACCCGCCGCATCAGTATCAATGAGAACTTATTAGAAATGCAGGGCTTGGGTCCCACCTTAGACCTACAAAATCATAGTCTGCATTTTAACAAGATCTCTAGACAATTCATATGCACATTAAAGTTTGAGAAACACTGGTCTATGCCCTTTTTTGTACAGCCTCCCTATAGTACCAGCTAGTATATCCTTGACAAACCAACCAGCAACCAAGAGCTTAAAGTAGGTATCATCCTTAAATTCTGTAACCGTTGTCAAAGCTCTGGTCCTTCTTACCCTGTGTGGGAAATGCTGTGGGTGGGAGGAGAGAGCCTCACCCTGAAGCAGCCCAGTGTCAGATGTGAGTTTGGAAAGATTACTCATCCAGTGGGATTATATTCTTCAAGCCACGAGCCAAAGGTCCATGTTCTGTTAATGTTTGAGCCATAGGTTCTGTTGGTTTGTGTTGGAATGCCAGGTTCTGAGTATCTAAATGACCCTATCCCTGTGTTTTTCTTGTAGTGCAAAGAAAGGAGGTACAGGCCCGAGCTGTGTTCTACCCTCTCTTAGGGTTGGGAGGAGCTGTGAACATGTGCTATCGAACCCTCTACATCGGGACAGGTGAGCCAGCTGGGAGGTGCTGAGTCTGTTCAGCCCTAAAGACCAACACTGTTACCCTCAGAGGCTAGAAAGGGGCAAGGAAAGCCCTCACCAGGGCTGGCCGGTTTCACTGAGTGTCTGTCCTGACCAGAGGGACTAAGAAAGGAGACTATCAGCTGCTTGTCTTCCCTGTCTCAGGCCCTTTTGCTTTGTGCCCAGTGTAGCATCAGGAGAGGTGAAAGTTTTGATTGCTTCTCAGTGAGGCGTTTAAAATACTGCAAGGAAATACCCAAGGAGAGAGCAAATGCTTTGTCCCTGGAGGGCTTTGAAAAAGTTACAGGGCTCACATAGACTTGAGCTTTAGTTAGCCCTGTATCTTGTACAGAGGGACAGACAGATTAGCCCTAAACCTAGACATTTCCCTTTCTTTCAGGTGATAGGATTTATAGGCCCTGCACCCCAAGTTGTGCTCTCATGGAAATATCTCATCCTCTTCAGTAGCTCATTGTTCCCATCTGGGCAGCAGCCACATATTCTAAAGCAGGTCAGCTGGCAGAGACAACTGTTCTTTAGCAGGAGGTTGGAAAAGACATCAGCTTTAGTTTGAAAATACAAGGAGGAGGGGACCCTGAACTACCTGTCCCTCAGGGTCTCCTAGTGCCTGCCCAGAAGTTAACTCCCTCCTCCCTCGCCTCCCCTACACATGTATCTTACAGTTTGTTCTCTGCCCACTTTTCCTCTATTCCTGCCACCTCGCAGGAGCTGACATGGACGTGTGCCTTACAAACTATGGTCACTGTAACTATGTGTCCGGGAAACACGCCTGCATATTCTACGATGAGGTGAGGGGTGTTGATGGGGTGGGAGGGAGTTCTCCCAACCTGAGGCCTCTCCCAGGCACTGGGTTTTTGTTCAGTGCCCTGGGTGAGAGGAAGGGGGTTGGGGGACCTCTCCTTTTCTTCCCTCCCTGTCATTTGGGGAAGAGAAGAGTCTTGCTGTGAAAAGAGCATTCTGCCATGGCCACCTGCCCCCCAGGTGCAGGGCTACCATATCTCCTGAGGTTGATCACAGGCTCAGCTGGGGCAGGGGTTGGAAGGGGCAGGGGAAGGGAACAGCATAGAAGGAAGCCAAGCCCTCTTAGTGCAACCCTGTGAGTTTTATCACCTTATGTGTCAGTGATTTCAACAGAGGCAAAGTAAAGGAGTGTGGGAAGGATGGGGTCTAAGAAGGAAGGCTTCCCTGAGGGAGGGGGTGAATCTTTTTTGTTAGTTTTTGTTTTTGATTTTGAGAGTACATTTATTAAAGCTGGAGACAAGAAGGGCTTAGGGTAGAAGAAGCAACAAGAGAGAGTTGCTTTAGCTCTCTGGAAAGTCGGGGGAAAGGGGACCTTGGAGACAGGTTCAGGGGGTTAGCCCAGGATGAGCTGCCACTGCCCACTGCTCCCTGGTTGCAAGTCCCTTAGAGTTTAGGAGATGTGCACCTGTGGGGAAAGAAGGGGAAGGGAAAGGTGTGAGCATGCTCCTGGGAGGGAAAGCACACACGAGGTGAGTCTTGAGCCCCAGTCTAAAGGTACAGGGAAGGAGGGGGCATGATTGGGGAAGAAAGAGAGCTCCCAAGTAGAGCAGCACAGCCTTTTCCATATGTCCTCTCTCCCCTTAGCCCCAGGCCCCACGCAGCAGACCACACATCTTATCTTCCCTCCTCCTCCTCAGAATACCAAACATTATGAGCTGTTAAACTACAGTGAGCACGGGACAACGGTGGACAATGTGCTGTATTCATGTGACTTCTCTGAGAAGACCCCGCCAACCCCCCCAAGCAGTATTGTTGCCAAAGTGCAGAGTGTCATCAGTAAGTTGGAGGGGAAGCCTGTGGCCACAAAGCCTGCCATTGATGTGCTGTCTTGTGCCTTCCTGATCCCATTGGCCATTACTCCTGGGCCCAGGGAGGGCCACGGAGAACCAAGTGCTGGGCACCCACTTATGTGTGCATACCTATTTGGGAACTTCAGACTTCACCGTCCTTTCACCACTCCAGTCATGCAGCATTTAAAATGGGGAGGTGCGGGGTCCTATCTGACAAACAGCCCAGAGGGTTGGACTGCTCACTGCTCTCCAGTGACCATCCCTTTTTTTCCCAGGGCGCCGCAGGCACCAGAAACAGGATGAAGAGCCAAGTGAGGAGGCAGCCATGATGAGTTCCCAGGCCCAGGGGCCGCAGCGGAGACCCTGCAACTGCAAAGCCAGCAGCTCGAGCTTGATTGGGGGCAGTGGGGCCGGCTGGGAAGGCACGGCCTTACTGCACCATGGCAGCTACATCAAGCTGGGGTGTCTGCAGTTTGTCTTCAGCATCACTGAGTTTGCGACCAAACAGCCCAAAGGCGATGCCAGCCTGCTACAAGATGGGGTCTTGGCCGAGAAGCTCTCTCTCAAGCCCCACCAGGGCCCTGTGCTGCGCTCCAACTCGGTTCCCTAGGACTGGCGGCCACCCTATCACCCGCCTGTCCACCCGACCCAAGATTCCTGCAATGCAAAAATGTACACAAACCAAGCCCGGGGTTTTTTTCTATACTCCACCAGAAACCCTTCAACTACAATCTTTGCATGACATGAAGAAAACTTTTGACTTTTTTAAAAATTCTTTTTCTTTTCTCAAGTTCTAGGGGGCATTTGCACATATATTTGTACTCAACATTTCATGGGAAAGCGGCAGACCCGAGCTGAGGAACAGCGTGGGCAGGGAGGGGAAGGCCAATGGTCTGGACACTTCCTCCAACACAAAATCGTTCCCCACCCACCTGCTCCCTCCCCCTCGCCCGCCGTTGTAAAATAATCAGAAACTTGTTCTATTTTGTGGCAGTGACAATAGTTTTATATTAAAAGAAAAAAATACAGTTTTCATACAGCAAAATCTATACAATATCATTGTTTTATTTAATATAAAGATCGCTACCCACCCTCCTTCCATGGTTCCCACCCTCCAAGTTATTTTCCCTTTCTGCAGCGGTTGCACTACAGGTAGCTACTGTGTATTATGGACAATTGAGAAATGAATCCTTTTTCTGACTGTCCATCTATTTTATTTCAAATAAGGAAAAGTGTATTTGGATTTTGTGTAAATACATCTAGTGATGACATTTTTTCAATGTTTTTAAAAACTGTGTACAGTACTACATGTGGTAGAACGTTTTCTTCAAATTGTCTATTGTAGCAAAAATGTTTTTGTCGTAAACCTGTTTTGTCTCCTTTTTTTGTTCTCTTGCCACTTCTCTTCCTCCCATCCCTGGCTCCCTCTTTTCCCACCCACAACCAGTACCAATGTACATAGTAATTGTAATGTTTTAGACTTTACAGAAACTTTCCTGTATTCTGTATATAAAAAAACAAAAATACTTCAAATTATGTTTTCTGCCTGTCTGTCCTACCTGTCATCACCCTTGGAAGGGACCCTCCCTGAGATCTTGGTTCCACAGTCTCATTGAACAAGTCACATTCCCCAAGGGAAATCAGGAGAGAGGAGGTGAAGGAAATTGAGCATAAGGTACGTGGGGGGGCAGAAATGAGAGGGTAGAGGTGCATCTGCTAAGGGGAGCTGCTGTATGATTTTGTAGGTGACTCGGAGTTTAGAGGGCTTGGTCATTTGACATGATCAGATTCTGTAAGATTCCAAGAGTGTAGGCCCCTGCTCCTATTGGCTCCAAAACAAAGACATTAAAATGAGCTGGCATGAGATCTCTGAATTCTGGTCTAGAAGCTTTAACCTAAGGAGTTGGGGCTGCCTTTGGTTCTAATTATTTGATACATTTTATTAATCTATTCTGGGAAGTCATAACACCTGGTTTTGTCCTTTCCCTGTCACCTTAGCTAGATGTGGAGCAATTCATTTGTTCAAGTCCACTTGACCCTCCTTTGTGCCTGGATCTTGGTCTAGCTCACTTGCCATGAGCAGTCAACAAGGCAGATATCGTCCCTGCCTCTTGGAACTTAGAATCTAATGTCGAGCAATTTGTTGATTCAAACATCTCTGGGGGACATCATGAAGAAAAAGGAGAAATTCAGTCTCTAAACCCAGCTGTGCTACAGGTTATATAATACCAGTCACTAATTCTCTACAGTAGCAATTCCTCAAGAAGACAAGTCTAGATGCATTACCTTAATTATAAGGCCCTGGGTCATTAAATTCCATCCTTTCCATCTCTAAGAACTTTATCTGGGAAGTTTTTCCTGAAGAGTATCTGACTCCTCATCAGGAGAGTACCTACTTGTTTGTCTATCCCAACAGTGTTCAAGTAGGTGATACCTGTTGGCCTGTCAGGATTTTGCCCTGGGGAGGAGAATGCATACGTTTCTTTAATATTCCATCCCCAGCCTCATCCCACAGCATATACAATTGAACTTTTAGTGCACAGTGCAGCTAAGTAAGAAAGCCCCAGGAATCTGAAGTCTGTCCCAGGCTTCCACCTACCTTCTAGCTTTGCCCTTGCCCTAATGGGCCTCCTGAACTCCCTCGGGGCAGAAACACGTTCAACTCCATATTTCCCAGGCCAACCATACTGCTGGGGACACCATAAGTATCAGTGTATACTGAATTGTACTGGATTTCTTTTTTTTTTTAATCCTCACCCAAGGATATTTTTCCATTTTTGTTCAGATAGAGTGAGAGGGAAAGAGAAACATAAATGTGAGAGGGGCACATCAAGTGGTTGCCTCCCGCACCACCACAATCAGTACCACAATCAGTGCTGAGGAGAATCACAACTGAGGGACGAGCCCTTGATCGGAACTGAGCCCGAGACTCTAGTCCAAGGGCCGACACGCTACCCCACTGAGCAACCGGCCAGGGCATGAACTGGATTTCTTTTCTTTTTTTTTTATCCTTACCCGAGGACATTTTTCCATTTTTTGTTCAGATAGAGCGGGAGGGAGAGAGAGAAACATCGATGTGAAGGGACACATCGAGTGGCTGCCACCTGCACGACCAACCAGGGCCGGGGACAAACTGCAACTGAGGTACGTGCCCTTAGCGGGAACCGAACCCGGGTCTCTCTGTACCGCAGGATGACGCTCCAACCGCTGAGCCAAACCGGCCAGGGCATGAACTGGATTTCTTAGGCAAAGTCCTTTCTTCCTGCAAGTCACCTGGCCATGAATACCCTTACCCTTGACTCCCTAGCTGTCCCCACCCACCTTGCCATCATAGTCACTTTTATTGAGTGATGGAGCTTCTTCACCCATTTCTACCACCTGTGAGAATCATCCTATGGAGAATTTTCTCTTGGAAGTCAGATAAATATTACACTTTATCTTCCTGCTTCCCTTCAGAAATGGAGGGGGTGGGAGGCAGAGGCAGGAAGATATAGACAGCTAAGAAAAGTGAATCTTCGCTTTCCCGCGATCGGACGCGGCAGTGCCTCTGCCTCGCTTTTTCTTATTTTCCCCTTTTCCTTACTTTTTTTTTTCTTTCCTTTTTCCCCCTTCCTCCCTTTCACCATTTCCCCTTGGAGGCGCTTCCCCCGGGCAGGGGCAGAGCCAGTCTCAGTCTCTGCCTCTCCCCGCCACCTCCCGCCCAAAAGAAAAAAGAAAAAAAAGTGAATCCTTGCCCAGCTGGTGTGGCTCAGTGGTTGAGTGTTGACCCATGCACCAAGAGGTCACTGGTTTGATTCCTGGTCAGGGGCATGCAGGAGGCGGGCAATCAACGTTCTCTCTCATCAATGTCTCTGTCTCTCTCCCTCTCCCTTCCTCTCTCTCTAAAGAAAAATTATTTTAAAAGGAAAATGCTGAACACACTGTATCACCTCCTTGGCTTCTATGGAAAGAACAGGAAAGAATCCTAGAAGCTGAGAGAGGGTTATGAGGATAGGGATGGAAGGACTTGTTTGTGGAGGGAGGGCAAGGTATCCAGGACAGTACTCACTCTCAGACACAAGAGCATTCATGTACACACGCCTCCCAGAGGTAAGGACTCTGCTACATACCGCCACCAAGAGGGCTCACACGTATGCTGTTAGCCCCTCCTGCCAAGCCTTCAGCTATAGGGTACCACGAAAAGGACAGGTACGTTCGATGTTCATTCAAGCACACAAACGCAGACTACAGATGCATGCACACTCCTGGAGGGGCTCTCATCACAAGGACAAAAACAGAAAAGATGCACACACAGAGGATCCAGCCCTGGCCGGTAGTTCTGTTGGTTAGAGCGTCATCCCCAATATGCCAAGGATGTGAGTTCCATCCCTGGTTCAGACCGCAGTCAACCAATGAGTATGAATGGGTGGAATAACAAATGGATGTTTCTCTCCCTCCCTTCCTTTCCTTCTAAAGGCGGGGGTAGGGGGGGTGGGATCACAGAGAATCCGGAGGCACGAACACAACCTGAAGGATGATCTCAGGGCCCAGGGGCACATTATATACCAAAAAAATCATTCGCACACACGGTATGTGGATGCATGTACAGACCTAGAGGGCACTCTCAGGGTGCCGGTGCACACAAACACGCATCTAGAACGAGTTCACTCAGGCACACACCTAGAGGGCGCTCCCAGGGCTCAAATGTACACACGCACGTAGAAGGTGCTCACACAAGCACACATCCAGAAGACACGAACGCACGCCTAGAGGGCGCTCGCAGGGCCCACACGCACATTCACGCGCACACACCCCTGACCTGCCTCCTGCCAGCCTCCGAATCCACCTCCGCCTTCGGGAGGTCCTCGCGCGCCGGGCGCTCTTCCAAACCAGTGCGGGGTGGATCGGCAACTGCCGGGCGGCGATCCAGGGCGGCACGGGGCCTGGGCGGCAGCCCGGGGCGCCGCGGGCATGGAGGCGCTGCTGCTGGGCGCGGGGTTGCTGCTGGGCTTCTACGTGCTGGTCTACTACAACCTGGTGAAGGCCCCGCCTTGCGGCGGCATCGTGAGCCTGCGGGGCCGTACCGCGGTGGTTACGGGTGAGTGAGGACGGGCTCGTGGTGGGGAGGCCCGGGCGGCAGGGGGCGGTGGCCCTCCTGGCTCAGCTAGGCTGCCGCCCGCCCTCCGCAGGCGCCAACAGTGGCATCGGGAAGATGACGGCGCTGGAGCTGGCGCGCCGAGGAGCGCGTGTGGTGCTGGCCTGCCGGAGCCAGGAGCGCGGTGAGGCCGCCGCCTTCGACCTCCGCCAGGTGAGGGAGGTCAGGGGCGGGCGGCACAGTGAACAGAGGACAGAGACACCGGGATGAGCAGAGTGGCTCCGGGGAATCCAGTCCCGGAGAGGAGAGTGCAAGTCGGGTGTTAAGTGCGGAAGAGGGGGTGAGCAGGTGCTCTAGTCACACAGGGAAGAGGCACCAGACCCAAGCTGGGGAATGGACTTCCTGAAATGAGTAACTGAGGTTCTAAGGCGTTTAAGGATCCGTGGAAGTCACACAATGAAAGACTGTAGGGGAGGGAACAGCAGGAGGAACACCATATACAAAGGCCCTGAAGCAAGAAAGCTGGTCTGATTTAAGAAACAACCCCCCCCAAAAAGGTTTAATGAGGCTGGAGCATGAGGGAGAATGGGAGTAAGAAGCAAGATGAAAGGGCCAGGGTGAGGTTCAGGAGGCCCTTATGGACCGTATTGAGGAGCTCAGATTTTATAGGATAAGCAGTGAAGAGCCAGCGAAGGGTCCTCAGCAGGTTCCGGACTGTTAGAATAGTCTTTTGGAACCAACCTTTGGGGCTGTGTGGTGCCTAAACTGGAGGGGGCAAGAGGGGTGAAAGACCAATGAGAAGTCTGTTGTAGATTTTAGGGTAATGCAGAGGAGACAATAAAAATAATAGCAATTGCCTACATAGTGCTGGGTGCCAGGGATTGTTTTAAGTATTTTACATATATTAACTCATTTTATCTTCACAACAACTCTCTGAGATAGGCACTATTATTATGCTTTCCATTTCACAGTGAGAGAATTGAGGCCCAGAGAGATTAAGTATCTTGCTCAAAGCCATACCCTAGTAAGGGATATAGTCAAGATTTACATCCAGAGTTTACACTCTTATCCAAATCATTCTAATGCATAGGGGCAGATCTTAGTAATAGTAGGAGGTAGACTCAGAATTTGGTGTATGGGGAGAGGAGAAGGAGAGAGGTGTCTAGTAACAAGTTCAGCCCTTGCTGCTCCACAGGAGAGTGGGAACAATGAAGTCCTCTTCATGGCCTTGGACTTGGCCAGTCTGGCCTCCGTGCGGGCCTTTGCTACTGCCTTCCTGAGCTCTGAGCCACGGCTGGACATCCTCATCCACAATGCCGGTGAGGGGCAGCAGGCCATTCAGGGGGTTGGTGGGTTGCTGGAGGCAGCTGTCCCTTCCTGCCAGGCATTGCTGGGGGCCAGTGGACATGTGGGAAGGATGCCCTCTACCACCATCTCACAGATGGTGCCACCAAGACCTATAGGGATTGCTGTAGAGCAATTGCTCACACCTAGTCCCTGCCCCAGGGATCAGTTCCTGTGGCCGGACCCGCGAGCCTTTTAACCTGCTGCTTCGAGTGAACCACATCGGCCCCTTCCTGCTGACACATCTGCTGCTGCCCCGGCTGAAGACTTGCGCCCCTAGCCGCGTGGTGGTGGTATCCTCAGCTGCCCACCGGCGAGGGCGCCTGGACTTCACGTGCCTGGACCGCCCGGTGGTGGGCTGGCGGCAGGAGCTGCGGGCATATGCTGACAGTAAGCTGGCCAATGTATTGTTTGCCAGGGAGCTCGCCACCCAGCTCGAGGGCACTGGCATCACCTGCTATGCAGCCCACCCAGGTGAGGCCTAGTTCTTTGGCTGCTCTGCTTTGCTTTGATTCCGTCTCCTATCCTCGCCCCGTCCTATGCTCTCCCAGCCTCTCACTGAGCTACAGAATCTCAGAGCAGGAAGGAAGTATGGTCCAAGGAGATACTTGTTCCTTGCTGATCTTAGAACCAGGCTCTCTTTGTCTGGGTTCTTGCTCTCCACAAGCATGGATGCTGACAACTGGGTAGGGTATATGGCCATGAATAAGGTCCAGGTTCTCACCCCAAGGAGCCATCTATATGATATGACTGAATTGACTATAATATGAGGATGATGATGATAGCTAATGATTATTTGTTCAAGAAGATTTTACTGAGTACCCACTATGTACGAGGCATTAATCTTAGTGCTGGGAATATAGCAGTGAACCAAACAAAGACCCTATCCTTGTAGAGTTTACATTCTAGTATAGGAGAGGGGGAGACCGCTAATAAATATATACAACGACAGGTGGTGATAAAGTGCTGTGGAGAAAGATAAAACATGTTGAGGGGAATATAAAATGATGAGGTGCTATTTTATCTATGGCAGTCAAGGAAGACATATCTGAAAAGGTGACAGTTAAATAGAGGCCTAAAGGAGATGAGAGAATGAGCTATGTGGCTTTCTGGGGAGAAGAATGTAAAGAACAGAGCAGATAGCAAGTACAAAGACCCTGAGGCAAAAGTGCCTGGTGTGCTTGAGAAAGACCAGGAAGCCTGGTGTGGCTAGAACAGAGTGAGAAGGGGAAAGTGGCAAGAGATGTGGTATAGAAATAGGCTAGGTCACATAGGGTCTAGAGGTCCACTGTAAGCATTTTGGGTTTATTATTATTATTATTATTTTTATCCTCACCCAAGGACATTTTTCCATTTTTTGTTCAGATAGAGTGGGAGGGAAGGAGGGAGGGAGAGAGAGAGAGAGAGAGAGAAACAGAGAAACATCGACGTGAAAAGGACTCATCAAGTGGCTGCCATCCACACAGCCCAAGGGCCGAGGACAAACTGCAACCAAGGTACATGCCCTTAGCAGGAACCGAACCCGGGTCTCTCTGGACTGCAGGCCAACACTCTAACCACTGAGCCAAACCAGCCAGGGCCATTTTGGGTTTTTTAAAAAATACATGTTTTTTGGTTTTTTTTAGAGAGAGAGGAAGGAAGAGAAAGATAGAAACATCCATGTGAAAGAGAAACATCAGTCAATTGCCTCCAGCGTGCCCCCTACTGGGATTGAGCCTGAAACCTGGGCATGTGCCGGGACTGAGAATCAATCCAGGACCTCTCAGTTCATAGGATGACACTTAACCCACTGAATTCACCGGCCTAGCAGCATTTTGGCTTTTAATCTAAATTAGTTAATTGATGAATAAGACCCATCCCTGCCTTTTGGGAACAGGTTACTGTATAACAAGGTCTGCCCTATCCGTATTACCATACTGCATTTTAGATAGCCATTGCCTATGGCTCATTAGTAATTATAATAGTGACAATAATAATCACAAATAATCTTTTTTTTTTATCCTCACCTGAGGACATTTTTGCATTTATTTTCTTATAGAGCAGGAGGGAGAGAGGGAGGAAGAGAGAGAGAGAGAGAAACAACAATATGAGAGACACATCAAGTGGTTGCCACCCACATGACCCCAACTGGGGCGGGGACAAACTGCAACCGAGGTACGTGCCCTTAGCAGGTCAACGCTCTGAGCACTGAGCCAAACTGGCCAGGGCATTACAACTAATATTTATCAATCCTTGATTGCACTTCATATCTCTAATGTCCAAAAGAGTAGCTGGTCTATCATAGGTGTTAATAAATGTTCACTGGTTAAACAAAGGAACAGGACTTTAGCTAGAAGAAAAGAAGAAAAGACAGTACTAGACCACACAGGGGACACAGCATGAGCAAAATCTGGGAGATGGGGATGTACAAGGAGTTTGGATGGAGAATAGGCTTGCTGTTGAAAATGAGTGAAGTCACCTTGTAGGGGCCCTGAATGCCCAGTAACTACTACCCTGGATTCCCTGGAACTGGACTCTGTTCCCCACTCCCTTCTAGCTCTTTTTTTAAGGCTCTTACCCTGGACCCTCACCCACTGTCCTCCCCCTCCCTTTCTCCTGTTCACAGGGCCTGTGAACTCAGAGCTGTTCCTGCGCCATGTTCCTGGATGGTTGCGCCCACTTTTGCGCCCACTGGCTTGGCTGGTGCTCCGGGCACCAGGAGGGGGTGCCCAGACGCCCCTGTACTGCGCTCTACAGGAAGGCATTGAGCCCCTCAGTGGAAGATACTTTGCCAACTGCCATGTGGAGGAGGTGCCTCCAGCTGCCAGAGATGACCGGGCAGCTCACCGGCTGTGGGAGGCCAGCAAAAGGCTGGCAGGGCTTGGACTGGGGGAGAATGCTGAATCCAATGAAGACCCCAAGCCTGAGGACCCAGGGACGCCCATCTTCTCTGAACAGTCCCCACCCTGAGGAGCCCACGGTTTCTGAATCCTACCCCAGCCCTCAGAGCTCACCAGACTTGTCTAAGGTCATACACCGAATTTGGGTTAAAGCTGAACCTGAGCCCCAAGCATCCTAACCCCCAGTCTAGGATTCTTGTTATGGCACTTAGTGACCCTTGAAAACCTTAGCTGTGTGCCTGTCCTTGGCCTGGCCACTGAGGAGTTTGCAGTTTTTACCTCCGTGGTTATTACTTTCTGGGGCTTCAAGTTATGACCTGGACAACAGCTCTTTTCCTAGTGGAGGGAAATAATGGGTGATTATTTCTTCCTGAGAATGACAGTAACCCAAGTTTGAGAGGCTGTGTGTGTGTGTGTGTGTGTGTGTGCCAGACACCACTTCTCAGGAATTTGGATTTCGTATTTTCAGGCACCACCCTCAGTGATGTTGATCAGTTCTAGATGAGGGCCTGGGAATTTGTAACTTGATGTACTGCCAATATTGAGAATTACTGAACTGGGCCTTTTGCGACCATGTAGCTAGATAGTAAATTATTTCCGTTTTACAGAAACAGGGTTAGGCAGCAGAGGTAAGGGATTCGCCCAACGTCTCACAGTAATACTAGGGACTAACATTCGAAGCCAGGTATTCTGGCTCCAGGGCCCGCTGCTGCAAGGTGGCTGTTGGGGAGCAGGGGGTGAGGCGAGGCAGGGCGGGGCGATTGTTATCGAGGCGCCCCGTGGGAGTAGAAGAACGCCTTTCCGGAGCTTTAGGGCTAGGCCCCGCGATCCCGACCCGCGTGCAATAAAGCGCGTTGACTCCCGAGGCTCCAGCGCGTTGCTGCCTCTCTCAATGTGCCGGCCCCGCCCTCCGCCGCCACACTTCCGGCGGGGCTGTGACCGCGGAGGGGCGCTGGCAAGCCGACGGGCGGCCGCTGGGGGTGGCGGGACTGCCTGGGCGCGGCCCGCGGTGCGGGCGGGTGCGGGGTGCGGAGTGCGGGCTGCCTGCTGCTGTCCCGGTCTCTGGGGGCCCTCCGTCCCGCCGGCGCCATGGGCAATTGCCACACGGTGGGGCCCAACGAGGCGCTGGTGGTTTCAGGTGAGGGGGCAGCGAGGGAGGTGGGTCTGGGGCGCCCAGTCCCGAGGGTGTTGGGGGCAGGGTAGAGGGTGCCTGGGAAGGTGGATGGGGGGGTCTCCGGCTGGGGAGCGACCGGGAAGGGCAGGCCAGGCAAGGGCCCCGAGGGTGGAGGGCACTGCTGCGGGGGACTGGGGGTGGACAACGAGCCCGAGTCTGCCGCGCCCCAGGCCGCATCTGAGACCCTTCCAGGAGAGCCCCCCATACTCACACTTTCGGTGCTCTGCACCCTCCGACACCCTCCAGGGGCTCCTCCCCACTGCGTGTTTTCCCCTTGTTTATCCCCCTCCTTCCTCCGCCTCCCCTCTAGGCAGGGTTCCCCTTCCGTGGCCTTGGGGGTCCCGAATTGAAGCCGTGGGGTTCCGGGAGGGAGAGGATCAACTGTTTGGCTGAATTCCAGCACCCGGGGCTGGGAGTGGGTCGCGCAGCTCTGGAGAGCTAGTGCCTAGATGAGGAGGGGCCCTGCGTTACAGATAATTTCTCTGGACACTATTAGACCCGTTAATCCCCAGCACGTTGGGGCTTGCTGGGGTTTACTGGCATTGCTCTCTGGGGAGGTGCGGGTGTGGCCTCTACAGGTTGAGAAACCTGGATCTGGGTTGCGCTGTTCTCATTGCACAAGGCTGCAGGCTCCAGAATTTCTGTTAGCCTTTGTGGGGCTTGGGACTGCAGTACTGGGGAGGGAAGAGGTATCTTGTCTTAAGGCTGCCTTTTAAATTGTATATTTGGGTTTCTTGGAAGGTGGCTGAAGCCTTTCAAGGCGCCAGTTTGCAGCAGCCCTGGTTAGCAGGTGCTAGGGATGGTTCGTGGTTCCTGACAGCCTGGAAGCCTCATGTCTTACTTCCCACTCTCAGTGCCTATTTTAAGCCAGTGTACAGAGTTTTAGAGCTATCTGCAGAAGTAGGTAGAAGCAGGTAGGCTAAACCAGGTATTGTAGCTGCCCACTCTTGGGGAAGATTGCTAAATCCATTGAAAACTTTTACTCCAGAACATGGCGCAGTCGATCTCAAAATCAGTCTCTCCACGGAGATAGGAAATCTCCACTCTCCCTGATCAGGATCTTACTCCTATACTTCACTTTCTTGAAGACCTGAGATAGCTTTGGGATCAGGAGGGAGATCCCATAGGACTCTGAGGCCAAACTTGCACCTATCACTGTAAGGCCTGTACCAGTCTCCCAGCCCCCACTCCTAAAGAAGGCTTTTAGAACCCAAATCTTTTTTGTTTTTTTATCCTTACCCGAGGACATTTTTCCATTTTTTATTCAGATAGAGCAGGAAGGAGAGAGAGGAAGAGAGAGAAACATCGATGTGAAAGGGACACAGCAAGTGGCCGCCACCCACACAACCCAACCAGGGCCAGGGACAAACGGCAGCCAAGGTACATGCCCTTAGCAGAAACCGAACCCGGGTCTCTGTGGACCGCAGGCTGACGCTCTACCGCTGAGCCAAACTGGCCAGGGCTAGAACCCGAATCTTTACTTTGTTTTTCTTTTTTTATAATCCTCACCGAGGACATTTTTGCATTTATCTTCAGATAGAGTGGTGGGGGGGGCGGGGAGAGAAACATCGATGTGAGAGAGACACATGGACTGGTTGCCACCCACACAACACCAATCTAGGTGGGGACAAACTGAAACCAACGTAAGTGCCCTTAGCGGGAACTGAACCCAGGTCTCTCTGGTCCGAGGCCGATGCTCTAACCGCTGAGCCAAATCGCCAAACCAGCCAGGGCTGTTTTTCTTTTTCTTTTTAGAGAAAGAAAGAAACATTGATTTGTTGTTCCACCCATTCATTGGTTGATTCTTTTATGTACCCTGACCAGGAATTGAACCTGCAACCTTGGCTTATCTGGATGATGCTCTAACCAACTGAGCTACTTGTCCAGGGCATGCTTTATTTTTGTTGTAGAGTTTCTTTCTGGATGCCTGGACTCTGAGCTAAGGAGACAAAAGCTCCAATCTTCTTTGGAAAAGAATGAGTGAAAGGAATGCCTGAGATGGGCTGCTGTGTATCTTCCAGTTATCAGAAACCAGGTCCTCTTGCCAGAGGCTGATGCAGTGCTAATTTGGAAACTGTTTTAGGGGTGGGGAGAGGAGGCTGTGTTGAGAATTGAGGGTGCTGGAGTCAAGGAAGCGTGCGAGAGAAGAGGGAAGGATGATGCCTAGCATAATGGCACTTTGAGATTTGAGATGACCCAACTGTGATGCAGCTCCCTTTTGCACATGGACTCCCAGGAGAACAGAGCAACTACTCCCAGCCCTGCCCTACCTGGTTACTTGGGCCTGTGTCTAAGTCCAGGGGCATCTCACTAACCAATTTTAGAAGAAGGATGCTGATATATCTTATGGTCATCTTTTTCACCTGAGAAGTCTGGAGGTTCTTCTGGTTGTCTGACCTTCCTCTTCCAGTCTATAATATAACACCTTTTCTCTATTTTGGGTTTTTTCCCTCTCATCTCCATAATAGGTCAGAGGTTCTTAAACTGGGGATTGTGAATAGAATTTAGAGGTCTGTACATTTGGATGTGGAGAAAAGTGCATTTATATTTAGCATCTCCTATGATTATGAGTGTCAGTGACAGTCCACGATGGTATTAGCAGATATTTTCCTACCATACTGCATTTGTTTTTGTTTTGTTTTGTTTTGTTTTGTTTTTTATCCTCACCCGAGGATATTTTTCCATTTTTTGTACAGATAGAGTGGGAGGGAGAGAGAGGAAGGGAGAGAGAGAGAGAAACATCGACGTGAAAGGACACATCGAGTGGCTGCCACCCACACGACCAACCAGGGCCGGGGACAAACCGCAACCGAAGTACGTGCCCTTAGCGGGAACCGAACCCAGGTCTCTCTGGACCACAGGCCGACGCTTTAACCGCTGAGCCAAACTGGCCAGGGCTGCATTTGTTTTAATACCTTAAAAATCATTTATGTTCATCACTACTTTGAATTTAAGCCAATGGTTAGATCTATAGTATTACACTATCACACATATTATTGGGTATTACATATCACACACTATGCCACATATTTGGTTGCTTTAATATTTTTATAATTTCTAATTTTATTTATTTATTTATTGGTACGTCCTCCTAGCGGGAACTGAACCCAGGACTCTCTGGTCCGCAGGACGATGCCCCAACCCAAGCCAAACCAGCCAGGGCTGTAATTTATTTCTTATGTTTTTTATTTTATTTTATTATTATTTTTTTTTATCATCCTCACCCGAGGACATTTTTCCATTCTTTGTTCAGATAGAGTGGGAGGGAGAGAGAGAGAAACATCGATGTGAAAGGGACACATCGAGTGGTCGCCACCCGCACAACCAACCAGGGCAGGGGACAAACTGCAACCGAGGTACGTGCCCTTAGCGGGAACCGAACCCGGGTCTCTCCGGACCGCAGGCCGATGCTCTAACCGCTGAGCCAAACCGGCCAGGGCTGTAATTTATTTCTTAGGTTTTTTATTTTATGCATTAGGAACATTCCAGCATTGTTAGACTTCTAAGGGTGTTTGTAGCTCAAAAAAAAGACTAAATCCATCCTGGTCAGTTTTGCTCAGCGGTTAGTGCATCGGCCTATGGACCAAGGGTCACTGGTTCGAATCCCAGTCAAGGGCACATACCTGGTCTTCTGGACTAATAGGAAGAAGGAGGTGGAAAAGGGAAGAGCAGGAAGGGAAGGGAGTTTCCTGAGGGGGCAGAATGTGTCTGGGGAGGGGCTAAGAGTGGGGCAGAGTTTATCTAGGGGTATTAGAGTGGGGTGGAGTTTATCTAACGGTGTTTTGTGATTCTTCAGCTTGGTTGAGGACAGAAAAGTAAGTTGTCTTAGAAAAAGTGAGATAAAATTAGGAAAGACTTTCAGGTCTCAAGACAGTGGGAGCTAAGGCAGACAAGGAAGGGGCACCTAAGTGTCCTCTTTTGGGAGTGGTTCAGTGTGATCAGGAAGCTGGGAGGAAGATGCCTTCCAAAAGAGGAGGCTGCTGGGGAAGGGGCAGTCTGGCAATCCCAGCGTCCTGTTGTTGCTATCCCAGAAAACCTGGCCACTTTGGCCAAGGCCTAGATTGAGCTGTGACAGCCTGCTCTCAAGGTCAAAGACTAAGTTAAAGGTAAAGAGGAATATCCCCCAACCCCTACCACAGGCCTCCCCCTAACCCACACCACCACTACCACCTCCTCTCCCTGCACATTGAGAAGTGCCCTAGAGCTGGCTGGAGGCAGCCATGCCCCAGCCCCCACCAGGTCAGAAGAAGTGGAACAAGCTGTGATTTTTGACCCTCTTCCAGTTTCACTGGATCCCGAGATGGTTTAGGTTTCAGATTTACTGCTTGTCCTTTAGAGGCCTCCCATACTCCACTCCCCAGGGCAGAGAAGCCCACAATAGTTTCTACTGAACAGTGGCCCTGTGAGCAGGTATTTTCACCACAAAGAAACAGACAGAGACCTAAGATTTCCTCTTCCCATCCCTACCCACATATGGACTGATCTTTGCTTCTTGGACCTCTGGCCCAGCTACTTGCTCACTATGCACAGTAGCAGCACCAAGAAACTGATTTGGCTGTTTTGTAAGCAGTTTCATATGCCAATTCCTTTTATTATTATTATTTTTTAATCCTCACCCAAGGGTAGTTTTCCCATTGATTTATAGAAAGAGTAGGAGGGAGGGAGGGAGGGAGAGGGAGAGAACATCAATGTGAGAGATGCATCGATTGGTTGCCTCCTGCATGTGCCCTGTCTGGGGCGAGAAATTGAACCTGCAGCCCAGGTACATGCCCTTGACTGGGAACCTAACCCATGATCTTTTCATTCATGGGCCAGCACTCTAACCACTGGGCAACACTGGCTGGGCTGGCTACTTCCATTTAAAATAATTATATTAAAATTCATTTCCTCAGCCCTGGCTGGTTAGCTAGCTAAGTGGTTAGAGCGTCGGTCCACAGACCAGAGTCCCAGGTTTGGTTCCCGCTAAGGGCACATACCTCGGTTGCAGTTTGTCCCTGGTTCCGGTTGGGGTCGTGTGGGTGGCAGCCACTCAGTGTGTCTCACATTGATGTTTCTCTCTCTCCCTTACTCCCTCTCTCCTTCCCGCTCCATCTGAAGATAAATGCAAAAATGTCCTTGGGTAAGGATAAAAAAAAAAAAAAAGAAAGAAAGAAAAAACTTAATTTTCTTGTACCAGCCACATTTCAAGTGTTGAATAGCCACCTGTGGCTAAGGGTTGCCATTGTTCACACACTCACACAGAATGTTCTCTAGAAGTTATCCCCCAACATCAGCCACTGCAGAGGGCTTCCACCCAATCTCCCTAACCCCAGCATCTCCCTCCTTGTGCAAAGTAGTGTTTCTAAAATGCAAATGTAATTTTGTCACTTCCCAGTTGTTTTTTTAATGTATTGATTTTTTAGAGGGGTTGAGTGAGGGAGAGAGAGAGAAGCATCAATTTGTTGTTCAACTGTTTTATGTATTCATTGGTTGATTCTTATATCCCTGACCAGATTGAACCCACAACCTTGGCATACACGGACAATGCTACCCAGCTAGGGCTTGTCACTCCCCAGTTTAAATGGCCCCTGATCACACACACACACACACACACACACACACACACACCTCCTTAGCCTAATACCTGAGATGCACTGTGATCTGCCCCTCCCCTACCACCACCTTTTCCCTTGCTATGGGTCCTCATAGACACTGTAACTCAGCTACAGGAACCTGTCCCTCACCCTTGACCTTGGGAGGCAACACCCTAAGGCTTTCCCGAAAACCCCAGTTTGTGAACACGGAAATGACAGCACCCACTGACTTTTTTTCAAGTCATACATCCATTGTTTTCTTTTGTGTTTAATATACAAATCAAATTTCTTTTGAATCATGTTTCCTGTACATTTCGTTGCACTACAAGTGAACTGTCCCTGCAGCTTTTACAAAGTTTTTTTAAACTTGAGTAATTTCAGCATTGGCTGGAGAGTTCACAAGAATTTCAGGAAGTGATTTTTCTCATTTTCTGTACAGCGAGCATGCTGAACGTGTCCACTGCATGAATCTGGATCCAGGCCAGATTCAACATTCTGTTTAGTTGATACATAGTTTCCAGGACCACTTTCTTTTTTTTTTTTTTATCCTCACCCGAGGATATTTTTCCATTTTTTGTACAGATAAATGGGAGGGAGAGAGAGGAAGGGAGAGACAGTGAGAAACATCGACGTGAAGGGACACATCGAGTGGCTGCCACCCACACGACCAACCAGGGCCAGGGACAAACTGCAACCGAAGTACGTGCCCTTAGCGGGAACCGAACCCGGGTCTCTCTGGACCGTAGGCCGACGCTCTAACCGCTGAGCCAAACTGGCCAGGGCAAGGACCACTTTCTTTTAGAACTTTTCCCTCTATCTTCACTTTTCCCATTGCTACCATGAATTGGCCTTTGTTTTGAGGTCTTGCCGGCCCTATCCGCTCCCACGAGAGGGACAAAGTCACTCTTGAACCCTGGGAATAGAGGACCAGCCTCACTGAGATGTGTCTGCCAGGCTTGAGCAAGGCTCCCCCCTTGGCTAGAGATCCCCTTCTTCACTGCCAGCAGTCTCCCATGTGTGAGTGGGTGCTGCATTCCCTCTGTCTGCACCTGCCCTGATAGTAGGTGAATCGCGTGGTATTACAGTCATCTCAAGAAAAGATCCTGCCCTGGCCGGTTTGGCTCAGTGGTTGGAGCATGGGCCCAGGGACCAGAGAGGCCCGGGTTCAGTTCCTGCTAAGGGCACATACCTCGGTTGCGGTTCGTCCCTGGCCCCGGTTGGGGTTGTGTAGGTGGCAACCACTCGATGTGTCTCTCTCACATCCATGTTTCTCTATCTTACCTCCTTCAAGACAGGACTTGTTATCTTCATTTCTGTATTCTTATCACAGAAAATACCCTACTTTGTTAAATGAATGGCTGAATGAAAGATAAAAGCTTTTGCTGCTCACTCGAGCCCATCGACCTCTTCTGTTCTGTGAAAGCACTTACATTCTGACCTACCCATTGGATATCCTCTTTTTTATGCAAGTTGCCTGTCTACCAAACTAGATTCTAAGAGCCTTAAGGGCATGTCTCCCTTTTATGTGTAACCTTGGCTCCTAGCACCCAACAGTGGGATTTGTTAAGTGCCCAAGCAGGTAAAGGCCCAGGGTTGCTATTGGAGAGATGGAGGGTAGACAAACCCAACAGCTGATTGACCAGCAGTGTTTTGCTTTGTGTTTTTTTTCCAGGGGGCTGTTGTGGTTCCGATTATAAACAGTACGTGTTTGGTGGCTGGGCCTGGGCATGGTGGTGTATCTCCGACACTCAGAGGTAAGGGCCTGAGGGCTCAGGGAAACTGTCATCCTGGTGGGCAAGGGAGTAGAGGGTTTCCAGCTTTCCCTCTTCACCCCGCAGATCAGTTAGAGCATCTACCACTTGCCACATTTCATTCTGGGGGTGGGGGGCTCCAGAGAAGCAGGCAAAATGGGTTGTACAGGGATGCTGGAGATCTGTCTGTGGGCACCTCCTCCTTCATGGGTGTGCTTTTTGCCACTAGAAGCATCACTCTGTCCCAGAGAATTCAGGGTCCTGCCCAGACAGAATCCCAATGCCCTGATTCCAGCTCAAAGTTATCCGTTAAGCCTTAAGTATACACCGTGTTCACAGTGGGTCTAAGAAGGAAGGAAAGCTAGAGAGCCTTTACATGCACCCTCACCGTTGCAGGCCCTGGGACAATGCGGGCAGGGGCTGAATAACAGGATAGATGTACAGTCTGAAGTGGCTCTCTAATAGCAGTGGATTATCTCCATAGGGGTGGAAATCTACAGAACTAGTGCCAGGGTGGACAGGACAGGTCTGGACTTCCTAAATCAGTGTGGAAAGACTAGAGGAAGGGATATTCCAGTTCCCCAGAGGGGCCACCATCAGGCTCTACCTGCTGGCTCCCCCAGAACACCTGGCAGAGCCAGATGTGACCTGGACCTTTCCCGCCACCCTCACTGCCCACCCAGGAGGAGATGAGGCATGTCAGCCACCTTTCCACCATCACCCCCTTCCTGACCATGAGATATCGGGGAGAGGCCCACATCCACCCAGGCCAGGACCCAGGCAACTAGGGCAGCAGAGCTGTGAAGGTGTGGGCATATGGGGGACAGGAGGCATCATCCTGAGGGGGAAATGATGGAGATTTCGGTGGAAATCCCCCTTCACCCCAGCCCCAACATTCAGCAGAGAGAAGTCGTATGGCTCACTGAGCTGTCGGTGCGAGGGGTTCCAGGGAGCCTGAAAGTGTCAGCTAGGGTCAGGGGCATGGGAAGCATGTCACAATTTTTTAACTTCACTGATTGCCCAGTAACCCCCTGCTCTCTCCCACCTCCCCCTCACTTTGCTCTGCCTGAGTGGGATCCTGGGGGAGTCTTCTGGCCCAAGGCCAAACGTGTCAGAGAGTAATCAATACTGGTCACAGCTTTCTCTCAGGAGGCTCCTAGGCACTTTTGAGTGGGCCAGTTGGTCTGTCAGAAACCGTGGGTGTCCATAGACACTGCCACTTTACTCTATATGCCATGCAGTCCTGGGACAACAGTATCTTATCCAAACACCTCAATGGACAGCCAGGCCCAGAGATATTGGGACTTGCCCAGAGACTGGTCCTGCATGGGCATCCACTGCTAAGGCAACAACTCTGCAGTTCTTTGTCCACCTTCTTGGCCCCCCACTCCCACTTCTTGCTCCAGGGAGCAGAGCCCCGAGATGGACCCAAGCTTCTCTGAGAGCAGGTTTGGAAGTGAGGGGTAGAAGACCTTGTACCTTGTCCTAGGAGACTGATCCCCCACACCCACGCTCAGCATCCTCCCTCTGGTCACACTTGCTGGGCAGTCTGAGTCTGCAGCCCCTCTCCTTCTTGGGCCTGTTCTGGGGGCACCCCCTTCCCCAACCCCTAGCCTTCTTGGGGGACATCTCTACAAACCAAGGCCTTTATTTCCCTAGGCCAGCAGCAGCCTCTCAGGTCAGAGTAGAGGCTTCTAACCCAGCCTAACTCAGCCACCTTTTGGAGGTACTCTCCACAGCTGCCCTACATGTCACCCACTCTCACTGTCCCCTGTTCTTCTCCAAGCTCAGTGAAGTCCCTTCTGCTGCACTTCGCTGCCATGTCTTGTATTAGCATGATGTGGACAGCTCTCTCCTTACCTGAGTGATTCCTCCACCTCTGGCATCTGAGCTGCAGCCTCCTATTTTCCCTCCTTCCTTCCCTCCCTTCTTCCTTCCCACCCTCTCTCCTGTCTCCCTCTCTCCTTCCCCAGAAGAGAGCTTGGTGGGTTCCTGTCTGTACCAGGTCTAGAGTCCTCTCTGGCCCAAGGGTGCTAATGGTAGGAGCTTGAAAGAAGGCAGCCTTTGCACATCTGCATGCGGAGCCCCCAGGACTGGCATGTGAAAGCTGAGGTGAGGGTTCCCCATCACTCCAACCCACCTGCTTCTGCTCCTCCCGCCTCAGTCTCTGTCTTCCCTTTCTCTGGTTCAGTGAAACCTTCCACACTGCCCACAGTCTGGCCTCTGCCTAGACCATTACCCTATACACATTCACACACACACACGCTGCCCTGGGGGGGGACCAGCTAGGGTGAGCCAAGTAGCTTCAAGGTGCCTTGTTTTCTTTGCCACGACTCTTCTCTGCCTGTGCCCAATATTGGACATTCCAAAGTGAATTGTCCTGTCATCTCCCAGTCATCCCTGTGAATACTCTGCCAGAGGCTTGCGTTCTCCCTCAGCCTTCCTTGACAACCCCGCCCCCACTCCCAAATCAGAAAATCCAAATTTTTCTCTGGGCTCTTCTGGCCCTAAATTTCTTTCTTAGTGATGTGTAGCACAGATTTGAGGATGTGTGCCCCAAGCAAGATTCAGTATTTGCTGTGGCTCATTAATCCCCAGAATGACCCCCCCCACCCCCACCCAGTTTCTAGAAACACAGGTTTGCCTGTGTTTGGGGTGTGGAGCTAAGGCTGAGTCTCCCAGATCATGCCAGAAATCTGGAGAACAGGTGGTAAGCAACCCGGGTGCCCTATGCACAGGCCTCCTGACCTCAGATCATAGGTTTAGGGCATCAACAGGCTTTTTTCCCAGCCCAGCAGCAACTCCTTGGTAGAGTGTGGGGACTAGAGAAGGGACCCAGAGGCCTCAGGCCAGCAAGGGGGTTTCTCTGTCCCCCTACAGCCCTAGGCTGAGCTGGCAGTGGGGGACTGAAGTATGGAGAGCAACCCTGCCCCCAGGCATCAGGCATCGGTGCTTATCTGATAACCACTGTGTGTGTTTGCTGTGTCCCCTCCTACCCCTTCCTGCCCCTACCTCTCCCTACCCCCTGGCTGCTCCTCAGACTGTCTCTGGAGGTTATGACCATCCTGTGTCGCTGTGAGAATATTGAGACGTCGGAGGGGGTCCCGCTATTCGTAACAGGGGTTGCACAGGTAATAACCCACCTGCTTCCTCCTCTGTGTCTAACCTTCTCTCTTCCTGCCCTGTGGGGCCTGGCAGGCAGGAGCCGGATGGACTCCCCTCCTGAGAGTGTGCCTCTCTTCCCTTTGCTCCCAACCCTTCTGCTCTGGGTACCAGGATAGAGCCCTATAGATCCCCAGCTCCCTTGCCTTCACCCACTGGGGCTGCTCGTGGGAAAAGAACAAGGGATTCTGGAAGCTCTGTCAAAGTCTGCCAGTTGGTGTTCTTGGATGCCAGGCCTAAATTGGGAGTAAGTTGGGACAGGAGACACAGGCCCTTATGTGACAGAGCTGAACTGTTCAGTCCTATCTATAGCTGATGTAGTCCTTCAGGTACCACAGAGCCCCTTGCTAGCCTCTTCTCCAGGCTGACACCCTAGTGCCAAGCCCTAGCCCCTCTCCCTGCAAGGCTAGAATTGGGTGCCATGGGGAGTTCTACTCATACAGCCCTTTGGCCCCCTTCAATCTCCTTGACAGGCCTAAGCAAAAAGAGCCTTAGCTGTTCCCTGTCCCTAATTCTTTGTTGAGAGGCCTTTGAGCAGATTTCTTGTCACTCGGCTTCAGTTTTCTCATCTGTGAAATGGGGGGGAATCATGCCCTCTCTGTGCCTTGTAGGGATATTAGAAAGGCAAGTAAAACAATATGAGGGCACTTTGGGATTTTTTTGGAGAAGAAACGCTAGAGAAATCCAAGCTTTATGATGAATACGATTTCACTTTGACAAGCAAGTGACCTGGTATTTCACTCTTTGTTGCCATGCAGCCAGAGCTGATGAAACTCATTCCTAGACCAGGAAGTTTAGCAACTCCAAGTGCTCTCTTCATAATATGTGGCTTCCCATCTTCATTGCTTCACGCACCGCCCTCTGTTGAGTGCCTTCTCAGTTCCAGGCCCTGTGAATGCTGCAGTGAATATCAGAAAGCCCCTGCCCTCAGAGCCCCGTGCTGGTGGGTCCCCAGGCTAGAAGAGACCCGAGTGTCATCTTACCCATCCCCTTCCCTCTGCATGACATTGCCCTTCAGCCTTTTCAGGCAAAAACTGTAACACACTCCTTGCCTCACCCGTCCTGCTGTCTCTAATTGGGAAGGGACTGCCCCGTCTCATTTGTAGCCGTGGGAGGTCAGGCTTCAGCACAGAGGCCTGAGAAGCTCCGAGCACTTTATGTGGAATGGGCAGGGCCCCTTGCCTCCCTGACATCCAGTCTAAAGCCTCCTCATCCACCTCCAAATTCACTACTCTACCTGAGATAACTGCAAATGCCTAGGTCCCTTTTAAGCTGGGTGATGTGGACCCTGGAGGCCTCAGGTTGTCTGAGCAGAACAAGTCTTTCGAGTACTCCTTGCCCAGGAAGCTCTCGTGTGGCCTCATTCCCAACTTGACCACCTGGGTCCAGCCCCAGAGGGTAGGCTGCACAGCATAGCCTATTGGCAGGTGGAGAGACCAGACAGGGCTTCCCTGGCAAGGGGTAGATACAGGATCCCCTCTTCTTGGTCCAGCAGTAGGCATACTCCCAGCTGGCCAGGTTACCAAGCAGAGTTTTCTAGGCAGCCTCATGGGGCATATCCTGGAGTGCTGAGCAGACCCAGGGAGCAAGTGAGGGCCCCTGGGGGAGGTTCAGATGGCTCCCAGGGACAACCTACACAGCACAGCCTGGAGTACCAGCACTTACTTGCTGTCCCGGGATGTACACACACAGCTACTCCTGGACTCTCCCCACCCTCCCACCAGCCTAGACCACCACAACCACTTCATCTGTGCTTCCTTTTCCCACTCTTTAAGCCAGGTTGATTTCAGCAGAGGGCATGTGTACACATGGACAGCACACTCAACTCCTTCCCCTGGAGGCACCTGCACCACCCTGCCCTGCCTTCCCACCCATCCCATTTACACATACTTCCAGCTTTGACTCTTTGGGGAATCTTCCCCACCCTTCTCTGCAACAGGACCCCTGGCCAATCCCAGCTGCAGCAGTGAGGTATTGGACTCTTCCCCTACACCCCAGACCCTGGGCCCCCAGACCCATGCCCCTGTTTTGCATTTCTTGGCAGGATTTCCCTAGAGATTATGACGTTGCAGCCCCGCTGCGAGGACGTAGAGACGGCCGAGGGGGTAGCTTTAACTGTGACGGGTGTCGCCCAGGTATAGTAACTCAGCAGCCCTGCGCATGACCGTTGAGCTGCCTCGTCCCGTGCTGGGATTTGGGTGGGGAGGAGAAGACAGCAGCCAGGGGCAGTCTCTCTCCAGCACCCCTGCCCCCACCCCCCACTTTCAAAAGAGGGTCATCGCTACTGGACGTGCTCTCTTGGCCCCTTGGCCACCCGGCAGAACTAACAGACACCCCTTTTCTTCTCAGCGGGCCCGCGAGGGACAGAACCAGTGCTGAGGGCTCCTGTCTCACTAACCCCACCTCGTTCTTTGCAGGTGTCGGAAATGCTAAGCCCCAGAATCCAGGCCCTTCCCTGTTCCCTGGGTAGGCATTTGGAGGTGTAGGGACCAGAGGGTGAGGCCATGGAAGGCAAGCTGTGGAGTCAGAGACTGTTATATTCCCAACGTGGTGCCTGGGTGAGGGGCTTCCTGCCCTAGACCACCTCTCAACTTCACTGGGCAGACAGATTCAACAATGTTGTAGGCCTCTGGTGAGGGGGTTGTTGGCTTAGTACCTCGGGAAAGAAAGGCAGGAGGATGCCCACCCTGGGTGGCACTCCCTGGACCGGTCCCCTGCCCTGTCTAGGCTCTCTTTCCTAGTCTGTCTCTGTCCCTGTTGCTCATTGTCCTTTTTTTGCATTCTCTACCCCTCAGTCTTTAGGTCTCCCATCTGTGGGGAGCCTGCAAGGGAGGAATTGGCTAATGAGGGAGCATCAAGTGGACTGGAGGGGTGGGAGGATAAGCCCCATATGCCCAGGAGAGAGGCCATTTCAGGGCCTGGGGCTGCCAGTGAGGAAGTTTCTCAGTGTGAGAATTCTTGTGTGTTATACCCACTAGAGGCCTCAGACAGACTCCACCCCCTCCCCCAGACCCTAGGCTTCCAGGTCTGAAAAAGGAGGGGAGGGACATAGCCACCATCCTCCACACTTGGGTCTGGGGCCTCCATCTGCCTCCCTGCAGCCTGGCTCAGGCACCTCTGTGACCACTGGCAGGTGAAGATCATGACGGAGAAGGAGCTCCTGGCTGTAGCCTGTGAGCAGTTCCTGGGCAAGAATGTGCAGGACATCAAGAATGTCGTCCTGCAGACCCTGGAGGGGCACCTGCGCTCCATCCTTGGTGAGACCCTGCCCAGAGACTCTTCTGCTGCCTTGGAAGAGCATCACAAGGTCCCCAGCCAGGGCCAGGGGTGGGATGCAGAACAGGGTAGAGGGTGGGGCAGGAGGGTCTGTCAGGTCCACCAAGGTTTCTGGATGAAAAGCTGAAATATTTTTCCTAAAGTATTTCCTTTCAGAACTTCATGTGACTTGAGTGAAGGAGAGGGTATTGGGGTGGGTGGTGAGGGGCTGCAAGTCTGATCAGGTACCTAGTGGAACACTTTTCTTCATCCAGCCTGGAATCTGCAGAAGGAGGCTTGGCACTAAACACTGTTAAGAAACCAGGAAGACCCAGCTCAGACTGCACAACCCCTGCATACACTCAGACCTCTACTTGCATGCCTTCTTCCTCCCTTTTCTAGCTGGCTAGGTGTCTGGGGAGCCAGCCCATGATCCTTTTGCCCCCAGGGACCCTGACCGTGGAGCAGATTTATCAGGACCGGGACCAGTTTGCCAAGCTGGTGCGGGAAGTAGCGGCCCCTGATGTCGGCCGCATGGGCATTGAGATCCTCAGCTTCACTATCAAGGTGCGGTTGATGGGAGAGGGGAGCTTGACAGGAGGGGGACCTTTGTGCTTATAACTGTTCCTAGGGAGCCCTGGGCCAGGTAGCTCATTTGGTTAGAGGATTGCCCTGATACGTCAAGGTTGTGGGTTCAATCTCCAGTCAGGGCACATACAAGAATAACCAATGAATGCATAAATAAGTGAAACAACCAATTGATGTTTCTCTCTCTCTCTCTCTCTCTCTCTCCCCCCCTCTCTCTTTCTCTCTCCCTCTCAAATCAATAAAAAAAAATTTTTTTAAACTGTTCCTAGTGATGACTCCCCCTTCCTTCCCTCCCTAGGATGTGTATGACAAAGTGGACTATCTGAGCTCCCTGGGCAAGACGCAGACTGCTGTAGTACAGAGAGATGCTGACATTGGGGTGGCTGAGGCCGAGCGGGACGCGGGCATCCGGGTATGTGAACTTTCCTTCCCGCCCCCAGAGACAGGAAACTCAGGGGTGGTGGGACCATAGTTTCTCAGAGGACCCTCACACCTGCCCCTCCTGCTCCCAGGAAGCCGAGTGCAAGAAGGAGATGCTGGATGTGAAGTTCATGGCAGACACTAAAATTGCTGACTCTAAGCGAGCCTTTGAGCTGCAAAAGTCAGCCTTCAGTGAGGAAGTCAATGTCAAGGTGAGAAGCCGTAAGGCACCTGCGTTGGGGCTCAGGGCTCAAGACTTGGCGACTAGCTTCTGACATGCTGACCACACTTCTGCCACAGACAGCTGAGGCCCAGCTGGCCTATGAGCTACAAGGGGCCCGCGAGCAACAGAAGATCCGACAAGAAGAGATTGAGATTGAGGTTGTGCAACGTAAGAAGCAGATTGCAGTGGAGACACAAGAGATCCTGCGCACAGACAAGGAGCTCATTGCCACGGTGCGCCGCCCCGCCGAGGCTGAGGCGCACCGCATACAGCAGATAGCCGAGGGTGAAAAGTGAGTGCTGCTGGGTGCCAGGGGCTTGGTCATGAGTGAGGCAGGCTCCTCTGCCACGCATGCACTCCCTCCACTCTCCTGACCACAACTTAGAAGCCAATTCTCCTCCATCCCTGCTTGCTTACTGTGAAGAACATGGAAGTCTTGTTAGGAGAACTGAATTAAATAAAGGAGTTTGAAGTGCCTGGTACGGTGCTTCGCACAGAGGGTGTCCTGTCCAGGTTAATCCCCTTTTTCATTTGCATCTGGGAGCCTATAGCCTCTCCCTGGCCAAAGCCAGAATGACAGGGCACCCCCCTTCATGGGTCCCCCACCCCTGACAGCACCTGTCAGAGCAGAGGGCTTGAGGGTTTGCTGGCTCCCAGGCAAGGCTTGAGGGACGGGACCCTTGGCACTTTGCACTGATCCTGCCCTACCTACTCCCTCAGGGTGAAGCAAGTACTCTTGGCTCAAGCAGAGGCTGAGAAGATCCGAAAAATCGGTGAGGCAGAGGCAGCAGTCATCGAGGCAATGGGCAAGGCAGAGGCTGAGAGGATGAAACTCAAGGCTGAGGCCTACCAGAAATATGGGGACTCCGCCAAGATGGCTTTGGTGCTGGAGGCTCTGCCCCAGGTGAGGCTCCCACCCCAGGCTGGGACTAGCTTGACAACTGCAGGCACTTCTCTGGGCTTTGTCAGGAGCACAGCGACAGGTTGGCTAGAAGAATTAAAAGGGGGAGGAACCCTACAACAGGCACCCAGACTATGGCTTTCAACTAAGGGCCATCCAGGCCGCTTTGGGATTTAGATGAGATGGAGAAGGGAGGGCGAGATGCTGAACAGGGCAAGTGGACAGTGTCAGAACCAACCAAGCTCTCCTCCCACCCAAACTCCTAGATTGCTGCCAAAGTTGCTGCCCCATTGACTAAAGTTGATGAGATTGTGGTCCTCAGCGGGGACAACAATAAGGTGACATCAGAAGTGAACCGACTGCTGGCTGAGCTGCCTGCCTCTGTACATGCCCTTACAGGCGTGGACCTATCTAAGGTGTGTACTTTGCTCACTGTGGTGGGGTTGCCTGGGTAGCCCACTGGACTGACTCAGGTGGAGCAGTTGTGGGCCCCCGAGCCGTGGCTTCATGGCATCTCCCATCCTTGCAGATACCCCTGATCAAGAAGGCCACCGGTGCACAGGTGTGAGGCTCCCAAAGGCCCACACCCTTCAGCAGCTGCCCGCTCCTCCCTTCAGCACCTGTTTTAATACCACAGGAACAACGGGAATGTTACTGACTCTGGTGCCTTATTTTGTAGGGACCAGGAGTGCTGTGTGTTCAGGCCTTCTCTGTCTGTCTTCCCTTCTCTCCTGTCTCTGTCTCCTTCCTCTCCACCTCTCCCCGACACCCTCACTGTCACTGCCATATTCATCTGGTGTGTCTCCTCCACCCTCATCTCCCTGTACATGTCTCTTCCTCTGTTTGTCTTTTTCTCTCCCTCTCTCCTCCCACCCACCCTTTATACACATCATGTAATTTAAGCTGAAGATGTTTATTATAATCACTGTCTGTCTGTGGGGGGTGGCCCTGCTGCTCTTCAGAATCCTGGTGCCTTGAAGTTCTCTGCATCTGTCTGTCCTCCCTGTGGCCCTGGCCGGACCTCAGCATGGGTGCAGGGGGTCTGGGTAAAATGGTCACCTGCCCCTCTCCTGGCCTGGTCTTTTGAGCCCTAAACCCTACCCTGGGAAGGCTCCAGCCTCACCCACTCTAGCCCTTCTAGGCCTAGGTAGCAGTGGCCTACAGACCCAGGCCATTGCCCTTCACTTCACCCCTCCCAGCCCTAGGCCTGCTCTCATACCTTACCTCTCTTCCCCACCCCAGGGGCACAGAATCAAGGCCTCCTGTCTATAACAGCTCCCCCAGTTGACTACTGCCTTAGGAGGCCCCTGCTTGTGCTCAGGGAAGTCCCCTTTATGGACATGTCCCTGCTAGGTGGAGTGAGGCCTGTTCCCAACTCTGCTTAGCCTTTCTGGGATAAGGGTCTAGCCCTGCTGGGGACTAGAAAGTCTGTAGACCCACTTTCTGCTAGGGCTGCACTGTCCCGGGTATCGGGTCAGGCCCTTCCAGTGGGCAAGGCTGTGCCAACCCTGTACAGAATCGAGTGCTGTAGACTGGCCAGACTCCATACTTCTTGTGCCATCTTTCTTCCTGGCCAGTGATAAGACTCCAGCCCTGGGGAAGCAGCCCAGTCCTCTGTCTCCTGGCTCTAGTGGAGGCAGAAAAACCTAGTGGCCAAGCACCCAAGGTGTTATGGGTATCCTATGGTCCCAGTCCCCTACCCCTGGCACGGGCCCTGCTCCAGCCTGTGTAGCTGTTCCTGCATGTACATGCTGCATGTTTGGTCTGGGGCTTGGATGCTGCACTGCCCCACTGCCTGTCCCTTCTGGTAAAATAAAGATCTGTTAAGCCCACACCCTATATTGTGTCTTCTGTGAGGGGAGAGAAGGAATCAAGAACTAACCAGATCCCCTCCCATACACACCTTCAGCCCAAGGCTATACTTTGCATGTCTTTCCCCACTCTAGCCACTGGGGGGCATCAACACACTTGCCTGGCCCCCCGATTGTATCCTGGGGCCGGGCAGCCATTGTCGCAGCTGCTGAGGCTAGGCCTGAACCCGGGGAGACCTGGCTCCATTGCAGGCAGAGGATGGTGGGGGCGTTCAGGTTCACTGTATCTCTCTGCCCATCCCGAGCCCCACGCAGTAACGGAGTTCACTTCTCAGGCTAAGAGCATGAACTTTGGAGTCAGACTGCTTGGGTTTAAATTTTAGCTCTATTACCTATGATATCTTAGACCAGTAACGTCCATCTTTCTGAGCTTCAATATTTTAATTCATTTTACAAATTTATCTAATGCATGCTATGTTCCAGGCATTGTCCTACATCCTGGGGAGACTGCAAGGAACAGAACAAATCCATAGCTTTTAGAACTTATACTCACGTGGGGCAAACAAAATAAGAAAAATTAAATATATACATAATATATTAGATAATGGTGTATACTAAGAAGGCAAATAAAACTGAAAGAACTAGGAAGTTCAAGAGGGTGCTGAAATTTTAGGGTGTTGAAGGAAGACCTAACTGAGAAAATAAAGGTTAAAACTACCTGTCTTGTGAAACAATTTCTCTAATGAATATACTGCTTATTTTAAATTCCAAAGGTGACATCTCTAAAAATAAAACATTTTTAAACTACAAAAAGAAAAAAGGTCCGGCCGGTGTGGCTCAGTGTGTTGAGTGTTGTCCCATGGACCGAGAGGTCCAGGTTGCAGTCAGGACACCGACCTGAGTTGTGGGCTCGATCCCCAGTGGGGGGTATGAAGGAGGCAGCCCACTCATGTTTCTCTCTCATATCGATGTTTCTATCTCCTCTCCCTTCCTTTCTCTAAAAAAATCAATACAAACATATTGAACTACAAAAAAAATAAAGGAATGAGCAATGCAGATATGTGAGGGGAAGAGCTTTCCAACCAAAGACCCCCAAGGTAGAAGTATGTCTGACATAATCAGAGAACAGCAAGGAGGTCAGCGTGTTTGGAAGTGATGAGTGAATGAGCAGTGGGGAGCATGGCAGTAGATGAGGTCAGAATGGAAATGTGGAACCTTAATGGGGGATAATTTGGCCGTTATTCTCAGATGGGAAATCACTGAAGGGTTTTGAAAGAGGAGTGATGTGATCTGACGTATTTTTATTTATTTATTTATTTATTTATTTATTTATTTATTTAATCCTCACCCGAGGACACTTTTCCATTTTTTGTTCAGATAGAGTGGGGAGGGAGAGAGAGAGAGAGAAACATCGATGTGAAAGGGACACATCAAGTGGTTGCCACCCGCATGACCCAGCCAGGACCAGGGACAAACTGCAACCGAGGTACATGCCCTTAGCGGGAACCAAACCTGGGCCTCCCTGGACCGCAGGCTGATGCTCTACCGCTGAGCCAAACCGGCCAGGGCTGCTTTCTTTCTTTCTTTTTTTTTTAACATAGTTCCCTTATTTTTTTTGAAACTTTTTTGTTTCTTTATTGATTTTATTTATTATTTATTCATTTTTTAGTACGTGCCCCTAGCGGGAACCCAACCTAGGACTCTCTGGTCCACAGGCCAACGCTCCAAATGCTGAGCCAAACCGGCCAGAGCAATGTGATGTATTTTTAAAAGATCATTCTAAGCACTGGGACAATTCAAGGGAGAAAGAAAAATCTTTTCCAAAAATGGTGCTGGAACAACTGAGTCTGTATGGGGGAAAAAATTAATCACATCCCCTACCTCACTCCATATACAAAAACTAGTTTGAGATCAATCATAGACCTAAAGTCAAAACTCAAGCCATAAAGCTTATAGAATAATGGGAATGTTTTTATGACCTTGGCATAGGTAAGATTTCTTAAGACCAAAAATAAATAAATAAAAAATACCATTAAAGATAAAATTGAGCCCTGGCCGGTTTGGCTCAGCGGTTAGAGCGTCGGCCTGCGGTCCAGAGAGACCCGGGTTCGGTTCCCGATAAGGGCACATACCTAGGTTGCAGTTTGTCCCCAGCCGGGGGTGGGTCGTGCGGGAGGCAGCCACTTGATGTGTCCCTTTCACGTCAATGTTTCTCTCTCTCTCTTCTCTTTCCCTCCCACTCACTCTATCTGAACAAAAAATGGAAAAATGTCCTCAAGTGAGGATAAAAAAAAAAGGTAAAATTGAGCCCTGGCCAGTTTGACTCAGCAGTTAGAGCGTCAGCCAGGTTCAGTTCAGTTCAGTTGTCGTGTGGGTGGCAACCACTCAATGTGTCTTTCTCATATTGATGTTTCTCTCTCTCTTCCCCCCTCTCTCCCTCCCTCTCTATCTGAAGATAAATGCAAAAAGATGTCCTTAGGTGAGGATTAAAAAAAAAAAGATAAAATTGATAAATCGGACTACCAAATTAAATCTATTCATCAAAAGAAACTTAAAAAAAAAGAAAAGAAAAGAAACTTGGCCCTAGCCAAGTAGCTCAGTTGGTTAGTGTTGTCCCAATACACCAAGGTTAAAGGTTTGATCCCCGATCAGGGCACATACAAGAATCAACCAATGAATACATAAATAAGAGGAACAACAATCCATGTTTCTCCTCTCTCTCTAAAAAAAATTGATCAATAAAAAAGAAAAAGGAAAGGCAAAGCACAGTCAGAAAAAATATATCTAACCGCTGAGTCAAACCGGCCAGGGCTCAATTTTATCTTTAATGGTCTTTTTTATTTATTTATTTTTGGTCTTAAGAAATCTTGCCTATACATATATCTGACAAAGGACTTGCAGCCCTTATATAAGAAGAACTCTTACAAATCAGTAATAGCGAGACAACTCAATAAGAACATTGCTGTAAACACCCTGCTGAAAATAGAATGAAGAGGGGTAAGGGAGGCAGCAGGGAGATCAGCTGCTTCTCAGCAGTATTGCAGTAATACAGGTGAAATATGATAGCCACTTGGACCAATGGGGGTATTGAGAAGCACTCAGATTCTGTATATATTTTGAACTAAGTAGAATTGCTATGAGAGAGAACAAAAAATGAAACAAAAAAGGCCTCCAATATGCCATTGTCCATGAATTTGAAGACTCAATATTGCAAAGATATCAATTCTCCCAAATTGGTCTATAGGTTCAATACAATCCCAATCAAATACCAAGAGATTTTTAATTGACAAACTATGGGCAAGCCTGCCTGCTCTCTCCCTCTCTGACAGTGTACTTTCGCTTTAAAGTGCAGTTGCTGCCAGCTCTCTCCCTCTGAGAATGTACTTTTGCTTTAAGAAATTTGTTCTGGCCAGTGGGCTGAGAGGTGAGAGCATCAGCCCATGGACCAAGTGGTCTTGGGTTTCATTCCTGGTTAAGAGCATGTACCTTGGTTACAGGTTTCATCCCCAGCCCTGGCTGAGGTGCCTGCAGGAGGCAACCAATCCATGTGTCTCTCTTGCATCAATGTTTCCCCCGCCTCCCTCCCTCCCACTCTGTCTCCCCTTCCTACCTCCCTCCCTTCCACTCCCTTAAAAAAAAAAATCAGTGGAAAAAATATCCTCAGGTGAAGATTAAAAAAATAAAATAAAATAAAAAATAAATCTTGCCACTGCAGTTGACCTCCTAAAAAAAAGAGAGAGAACAGCCCTGGCCGGTTTGGCTCAGCAGTTAGAGCGTTGGCCCGCGGACCAGAGAGTCACAGGTTCGGTTCCTGCTAAGGGCATGTATCTCAGTTGCAGTTTGTCCCCAGCCCTGGTTGGGGTCCTATGGGTGGCAACCACTCAATGTGTCTCTCTCACATCGATGTTTCTCTCCCTCTCTCTCCCTCCTGCTCTATCTGAAGATAAATGCAAAAATGTCCTCGGGTGCGGATAAAAAAAAAGAACAATTATGAAAGTTATAGGGAAATGCCAAAGGACTCCCAACAATAAGTAAGATAAATTTGAAAAAGAGTCAAGTTGGAGGATTTAACTCTGTCAAGATTTAAAGTTTTAGTCATTAATGTTGTGGCACAACAGAGTCAAAGAAAGACCACTAGAGAATTGAATTCCAAATAAGAGCCATTTATTAGCCAGCTAGCATCTGATTCCAAACACCCCTGTGACAGAGTCTTGGAGATCAGCCTCTATATGCTTTATTACATGCCTTTTATACCTTACAGCAAAAGTTTAATGATATAAGAAAATAGGATCTTCTTGATATAATGCCCAGGGCTACAACAATGCTATATAGAATTAGTTTGCTTTGCAGATAACAGGCACACCCAGGCATTTCAGGTATTTCAAGGTACATCGGGTCACACATAGCCCCGAGCTGCACAGACACAATGCAAGCCTAATTCCTTGAGATCCTGGGGGAGGTCGAGTTTCTGACTAAAGACCTCCAGGCTCTGTGAACTCTGACACGTAGCTGGTTCCCAACAATTTCTTGGTTCAGGGAGTATTCTAATTTACTGAGGTTTTTTCTTTTTTTTAAAAAATTTTTTATCCTCACCTGAGGACATTTTTCCATTTTTTGTTCAGAGTGGGAGGGAGAGAGAGGAAGAGAGAGAAATATCGACGTGAAAGGGACACATTGAGTGGCTGCCACCCGCACAACCCAACCAGGGCCGGGGACAAACTGCAACCGAGGTACATGCCCTTAGCAGGAACCGTCTGGACCGCAGGCGGATGCTCTAACTGCTGAGCCAAACTGGCCAGGGCAACCCACACTTTTTTATGACAAAAGTGGCAATACAGAGCTATATGGAAAGAACAGTCTTCTCAATATAAGATACTGGATATTGCCCTGGCCAGTTTGGCTTAGCGGTTAGAGCATCGGCCCATGGACCAAAGAGTCACTGGTTCAATTCCAGTCAAGGGCATATACCTCGGTTGCAGTTTGGTCCATGGCCCTTGTCGGGGTCATGCAGGAGGCAACCA